TATTAGAGTAAAATTGCGTTTTGACCGGGCCCTCCTTTATACACACCTATATTAATACAGTGACTGTATAGTTGAACAATCGTTGACCCAAAATAGTAAAATATATAGCGTAAATAAGATTTAAAAATGTGCAGCTATTGTGTATCCATTTAAGTAAATATAGAAACATAATATATATATATATATATATATATATATATATCACTTACGCGTATGTCATTTAAAACTAAAATATAATACAAACAACCAACACACGAAAAGGAGACGAGTTGTTAAAAAATACTGGGTTAAATTCGCTATCATTATCTATATTATAATAATTGGTTTTGACGAAATTTAATAAATCGTAAATTTATGACAAATAATTTCCAGCAAAGAATAAACACATGGTCAATATTTTATAATCTGGTATTTACCGGGTTTATACTAAATTAATGCGACAATATATCAATATATACCGGGTACAAATGTCAAAAACTATAAAACGACCTCCTTTTATTATTTGTCAACTCTTTTATGGCACGTGTATGGACAAGTTATTGTGACTAAATTTGACACAAATTACCTTTACCTACATATTCGTAATAATAAAAAAAAATGTAGGGATGACAGGACAAATAAAATCATTAAATTCATACCTGTAAGCAACCATAAGCTATAACTCACGAAAAACGGTTAGGAGCGAAGTTCGGTTATAACATGTTTTGAAAGGCCGTATTTACGATTTTCGTCAAAATTTGATTTTAAAACTCTTATTGAAAAAAAATACTACAGTAAAATCATTTGTTTGTTTACCACTAATGACAGCTTATAATGAACCTCCTGTTAAATTTTCAAGCATTTCTGTTTAGTCTAAGAATTTAATCCACATAGTAAATCCACAAAATATTATCACGGTTAGAAAAGGCAAATATAAATTTTCTGTCAAAATTTCAAATTTCTATGAACATGCTTAACTAAATTAAATCAAAATACAGATTTTAAACAATAAATACATTATTGTTGTAAATTTTCCCATTTTTTCTAAGTTTTTTTGGTTTCGCTAAATTGTTTAAATAACTACAAGATAATCAAAAAACAACTTTCTTGGTCATAAATTAGATAAAAAATTGAACAAACAAGATCTCTAATTGTTTTTCTATTGGAGCAATATTTTTGGAAGTCTAATAGAAGATAACGTAAAGCATATAAATTTAAAATAATGAAATCGTAAAAGCCATACAGTTGTCATTTTTACGTTTTTTCCTAAATTTTCGTGTTTATTATGAAAACTATATTGAAAATCAAACAACAACTGTCTTATTCACTAACTTGACAAAATTTTCTTTCAGAAAATATGCTATTCTTGAAATGTAGACAATGATTTCTGGTAGAAAAATATAATCTTAAAAATTATAAAATATTAAACCGTTTCACTGTAATTTGAAAAAATCGTTTTTTCCGTCTTTTTTGGTTTTCCCAATTATTATGAAAACTACTTTAAATATACAAAAAATGACTCTCTCTTTCAGTGGCTAGATATTAAATGAAAAAAAATTGATCTCTTGTTACCTCTTGTTACCTCTTGTTACCGACATTTTTTAAGAAGTAATTCATAAAATTGTTCTAGATTTAAAGACAAACTGCATAGACGTTGAGGCAACCAAAACATTATAGAGGATTCATATTCAGTTTTTTCGAGTAAAATATAATATATTATTATTATAACTATCAAAACGGATTTTGAGACGAATATTTTATAAATATTATACTATATATCACGAGTAATTTTAAAAAAAATTACGTTTACGTTGTACACAGCAATGTAGTAGTCTCCATATAAAAATTTTATAAATCAATTAATTTTATTATTGTTACTCGCCGTTGAAGAAAAAAATTAATTCCGTTACCAGTTTGTTGAACTCGTGGAGATATATTATTTAATCTGTGAGGCTGACATAAAAATATAGATATTTATCGCATTGTCTATTTATCGTGCTTTTGTTGAATTTATCTAGTAAATAAAATAAATTATACGAGTATATATAAATTTATTTGGTAGAGTTATGAAAGCAAAGAAAATTACAGTATTTATAGGTTTGTATACATTATGATTTTTCATAATAAATAGACATTTATAGATGATTATTTAAAAAAAAAAAAGGAATAAGTTCATCCACAGGTACTATAAAACAGGTGTTATATTGGGCATTTTACAACAAATCTAAATATTCAAAGAGAACCTAATACTCATCTGGGAGAGGGGTAAAAAGAAGACGATAATGAAATAACTGTAACATATTATTATACAAAGATGCAAAGTTTAATGCTCGTGTTTATGAATTAAAAACAAAAAAATGATTTTGAAAAATTAAACTAATTTTCGGAAAAACTGAGATGAAAAAGTGTAGGTAAGTACCTATATGATTCGAAATTTGATTATCAATCGCTTATGTTTTATCATTTACAGCATAACAGGTTTAAAATATTTATTTTTTTTTTAAATTTAGATTTATATATTGAACTGGATTACGTTACATGATAAGTGAAGCGAAAAAATTGTCCAGAGGCCAGTATAATTTTATTCTGCTCTTAAATTTATTTAAACTTAAACATAAGAAAACCTAACAATAGACCTATCATCCAAAATTACTATCATCAATTTAAATATTGTCTATGTATAGTGTATTATATTTAATACTATATAAAAAAAAAAAAAAAAAAAAAAACATAACGACGAAACTGTACCACGAGGGCATTTATGATATTATTATAGGTACGTTACGAATAAAAAAGACAGAAGAAGATACCGTTTAAGAATACGTAGGTAGGGAAAAAAATAGGAAAGATATAATATAACGGAAATAAAAGAATAATAACAGAACCGTCGTTGTAGGGGGGACGTGGTCAATGTCAATGGCACTGCTGCTACCGCGGTAGCCACAGAAGAAATTCTCCATTGTCGTCTCTTGCACTGGTGCTGATTGGCGATCAGTCACGAACATCCATATCATTACGCGGTCGATTATTATTATTCGTAAAGTTTTTCTGGAAGTACATGCGCGCGAAACGAGAGGAAAACCTATGCAATTCAGATTTATAATAATATATCAAAAACCATTTGAAGAACTTTGAGTTTGTTCATCGCCCTCAACCCCAGGCGTGATAAATTAATTTATTAAGAAGTATCCAGAGTATGGTAGACAGTAAGTAAACATTTATTCATTGTAACTGTGAAGGTATAGGCACCTACAAATACATACTCAAACCTTCAAAACTCAATACCCTTTGGACAAACAATAAAAATACATATAATTTTAGACAAATCAAAATTAGACGTTTACAAATATTAACAATATTTAAGTTTTTTGTGATGCTTTAATGAAAATGATTTGAAATATTAAATGAATACATATTCCACATAACTAAAATGTAAAAAGTAAATAAATAAATACCTTGTTAAAACTTATAAGTTTATTAATTATTATAAAAATGCTTTAAAAATTAAAATAACATTTTTGAACGACAAAAAATTATTTTTTACAAATGTAAACCTATCTATAGGTTTTTGAGAAATATTTTATAGGAGTTATCTGGAAACGTTTCCAGGTGCCAAGGGAGGGACTACTGTTGATGAATGGAAACGAATATTTAAGTATTATAATAGTATTTTGAAAACATTCGTTATGCTAAAACAAAAATTCTCGTGAAGGTGAAAAAATTATTCTCTACTTCGGGTTTTCACTAATGTTCAAACCCATTTTATACGATTAAGTGTATGTTACGATAGTGACTGTAATAGTCTAAAATAATTAACGAAAATAAATATTTCGGTTTACCTGTACACAGGATCATGGTGCTTAGATGGGGGGTGCTTTAGGGGGGGTGAAAGATGCCCACGCACCGGACGCTATGACTACAGGGGCGGCGCAATTTGAAAAATTTGTTTGTTTCATAATTGAATATTTTTATAATAAACGTACGAATGAACGCCTATAACAGACAGGTTAAGCCGTTTTTTTTTCACCGTTAAATTTATCTGACACCGGGTACCCACTTCGCTAGGAGCGACACTGCATGTACATAATTTCTTTTCGTCTAAATAAAATGTCAGCCCATATGATATATATTATGACGTAATATAAACAGTAAATCTAAATTCTTTACAAATTCTGCTAATCATTATACTTAATATACATATTGTTGGGAACAGTTTGATATTCACATTTAATGTGAACAAATGCTTTAAATATTATTTTCCACTGAAACAAAAGTAAAATATAATTAAAACACAAATACGGGTCAAAAGGCGATACTAAAAAAAAAGTCAAAACTACAAATTGTTATTTTTTACTAACCAGATTTTAGATAATTACTAAAAAATTGTCAATAAAATATTCGTGTTATGTTTTAACTAAAAAAAATCTTTATTTATGGTATTTATGAATTACTCGTACACTGTAAAATTTCAATAAATTTGAGACAAACTTAAGTAAAACTTTAGGAATAATTATTATTTTAGAAATATGATGATATAATATTAGTTTATACCATTCAGCTATCCTTAATAGTCACTTATTTTTATTACGAAAATACGAAAACAAATTATGTGTTTATTTATGTATATATATATATATCAAGGGCATACTACAGAACAGATTATGATAATGAGTAATGCATTAAGAATACAAGATAAAACTAGATCGATAGAGAAAATAATACCTAAATCTTTTATAATAAAAACGGGAACTAGAGAGGCAAGTTTCGGTGCAGTTCACCCTAACATTTTTGTTTTATTATACACTTACAATTATTTATTTTTAAGATTATTTTTATTTTTACCAGTAGATAACAATTGACCCCGTTACGTTTTGTGAAAAATATATCTTTTAAATTTCTTCAATAAAATGATACAAATATTAACTGAAAAAAAAAATGTACATTAATGTAAATAACCGAATATGCTATTTACAATACTATACTATACTTTCCAAAAAGGGTTCTATTTCAGTAAAAAAATAATGGAAGGAGGGGTAAAGATTGATAGATGCAACCCCCGAAAAAACACATCCTTGATACTGACAAAATACATATACAAAACGTCGGGTCCAAAGTGTGATCTACTGAGAAACCACGATATACGATAAAGCAAGAAAAATAGGTCTTAGATATATTATACAAATAGTCTCTCTTTCGAGAGCGGGGACCGAAAATATTACAAAATATCGTTTACAATATGGTAATTACGATCCACAACCATATGAATGTGGCGAAGATACTTCAAGTGATGAAAATGAAGCGCCATTAAAAATAACCGACGGAATTATATTTATTAATATATATAATGAATCAATACATGGAAATCAAATACAATAAAACTAAACGTTGATCTATTATTGCTAAAAATATATCGAAAACCACTCGTACTAATAATAGAAAAAGAAGTAAAAATTGTTACAATTGACAGCGATTAGTAGCGAGCTTATAGTACTTTGAAAGATAATATAGATGTACTCACCAAACTGTAAATCATAGTCAAAATTTCATGGATCCAAATATTGGAGCTTATACCTAAACAATACAATCATTGTGGAAGTTAGTCTAGACCAAAAAAAAAAATAGTCAATAGTTCTTCTCCACTATTAGGCAGCCAAGTAATAGAAAAATGTTGGCGACCATGTGACTCACTAAAAATTTTATTTTTAGTGGTTTTTTAACAGATTTAAAGAATTTTTTTGCACTATATACTTACCAAATATTTTAGTAAACACATTAATAAGTTATTCGATATAGAACACACGTAGGACTGGTCTTAATATCTCATCTTCATAAATTCATTTGGGTCTGTATGGGAATTCAAAGCTAGAAAAACACGCCTATCATAAGCTAAAATTCAGATTAAAATTTAACGATTTCTGTCTGAACAATCCATCTATAAAACTCGTTTGGTCCAAAGGGAATCACTGAGAAGTATCTAAAAAAGTACCTAGCGGGAAATCTGAAAATACAATACAAAAGTCTCTATTTTGGAGGGGGGAACTCGACAAAAACTAATCGAATTTCGAATTTCATTGTTAAGATATTATTCCATTTATATGCATTTTAAAGGCGAATTCGATTAGCATTGACTCGAACACTAACACGCACAAATCAACAATTAAAACTATAAACATCGTGTTGGGCAAATTCACATTTTCACTCCCACTGAGACAGATTTAATAATAATATTATTGTTATTATTGTAGCGACACAAACAAATTCGCCGGAAGTGTTCGTCCGGCGGCGGTAGTGTCTTCGGCGTATTTTCCGTCACACACAGCACGCAATTGGACGCGTTGCGTGAATTCCTGGAAGGGGTGACGACAACACCCGGAGGTGAAGAAGACGGACTGCATAACTCGGTCGGTACTGATCTCGTAGTAACGGTGGACACATGGTTCAGTGACAATATGTCCAGGAACATGGGAGCTTCGACTCCCTCTTATTACCCGTCCGAAGCGGATTTTGTAGTCAAGACGCCTCAGAAACCGGCCAGTTCGCGTAAACATCGTCATCATTCCGATCAAGTACGAACGTGTAATAATATTATTCTTGTTCCATTGTGAGTTTTTTAGATTCAGATTTCACTATGAGATGTATTTATTTATTATTTCTATCCATAAAAAAAACTTTTCTACCAGAAATCTTATGTGAATAAAATTGTATTGACCCAGCCAAAGTGTTGAAAGATGTAAGGTTTAAAGAAAATTTAAGGTTCATCATAAGCTATTATATACTCAGTGGTAAAAAAAAAAGTTGAATGTATTATAATTTTTTTATATATATAGGCACAAGTTCAAATTATTGTGACAATTTCAAAATTCACGACATTTCGAAGCACTTGTATAACTAAATTTCGCTCAGAATCGTTTTCTGTTAGGAATGATTTATCGTTGCATACGGATATAAATTAAATCAAATTATATATCATATTTTCTCAACTTCCGACCTACAACAGTGACACATCTATCAGCAGTATCAGCCTCTTTAAAAAAAAAAAAAATAACAATAATTTGTCTATACGATTGTATCTCAATTTAACTACGCGGTGTTTTATATATATAATTGTAATCGAATCCGTTTTCTTTAAAATAATTAATAAATTAAAATCTTATAACAGAAAAAAAACAACCAAATGGTTGGCTATTGTTCGAGAAAGCCTTATAGGTCAAATGTACCTATAGAGTATACCGGACAACAATTATATTAATTTAATCGTCTACCTGCTGTCTAATTTGTAATAGGCCAAAATATAATATAATAGTCCAAAATGAGAGAAATGCAGGGGTCGATGACGTTATTTTATCAACTTATTATTAAATCGTAATATTATATTAACTGCAATTATATTATTAAAAACATATTTATTTTTTTTCAATATTTCTGAGAAATACCAAAACATATTTTGCTTTCAAATAATAAATTATAGTGCAAACAATTATGCAATGATACATTTTATTGTAGTTCGAAGATTTTTAAAACAAAATAACAAATCAAACAATATTAAAATAATTACTGAAATCGGGTTAAATGCCGGCACAATAAATACCTATTATTACGTAATGATTCCAAAAACAATGCTGTTTAGATGATTTGGAAACTGAGCAAAGTCAATAAAAATGACAATAATACATATAAATATATAATGTTTATTTGTTTTTTTTCAAATCGATTTCATAGATAATTTCGCTGAATGTTTATAATTATTAAGTATCATATCAATTGTCTTGAATTCGTATACATTTAACTATCGGTTAAAAATGAAAGTTTTATTACATGATTTCCTTTCTCCCATTAAATACACACGCTGATTATTAAATAGATGAACTTATACCTACTTTTAGATTCAATACATTAGCTTAATCGGACTGATGCAACTAGTGACCGGGTGTCTAATGGTCGTTTTTGGCGTGCTATCAATGCTTCACGAAGCGTCCCTGTCCAGCGTGGGCGCTGGTCTATGGAGCGGAGCGATGGCCATGGGCAACGGAGTGGTCGGATTGATGGCCAGTCTGAACGGCTGTCTCTCGCCGGACAGGACTCTGTCTCCGCTGTCCGTCACGATTTACCTGGCTCTGTGTTTGGTGTCTGTGGGCGTCAGTAACTTAGCTATTGTACTTACGGCGATCGGTCTGCTGAAGGACTCGCAAAAACCTTACTACATAATGCCGAAAGACAAGGTCAGGTTTAAACTTTATTATCAAGTGTTTTTTTTTTCAATTATTTTAAATCTCTTCGTATTTAACCGATAGGTACTGTGGAAATAAAAAATTCGTCATTCATTTTCTTTTGAGTATATCTATATATACTGCAACATTAAATATAATATATCCGAGTCAAAATACATTTGAATAGTTTAATACAATATTTACATAGTATACTCGTATGTTCGTACAGGCGCAATACAAAACTCTGACGGCAGATCAGTTACAGACGAATTGGGCTCCTGTACTCGCCAACTTGGGATTGCTGTTAGCCACGTCCGTGCAATGTCTGACTACAATGTTGGCCGCATTTCGTTTTTATCGACTAGTCAGATTGATTTTGGCTGGTGAACAGCAAACTTCGTGGCCGACAAACTCGAGGCACAGAAGTCCGTCGTGTTGCAGCTCAAGCGTGGGCAGCAAACAGAAACTCGTCCAAAAATGGTTGGTGCAACAGACCCCGTCCCTCGACCGTTCTCACCATCAAACCAACTATTCTGGACAAGCTTACGAAAACAAATTGGTGAGTACTTATTTGTCTATATAAATTATTAGTTGTTACATGTTTGTGGCAATTTAAACACAAGGTTCAAGTGTGTCAGAGCCGGAAGACTAATATGAAATTAGTAAGATAGGCACATGAATCAATTTAAAAAAATGTCTCTAAAATATCAAAAAAAGCATTTTAAAAATCGGGTTTTTAACCGATATATCAGCTGATATCAATATCAACTCATGGTTCTCGATTTCAAGTATCAGATATCGAGTATAGGTTTTATATTGGAATATCGAATATAGGTAAAAAGTGGTATCTGACATCTATCTACCAATTAGTAACCTTAAATTAGAGTATAAGAGAGCGAGAGACAGTTCATTCATTCTATCGAACCCTAATTTTTTCAATATGAATAAATTTAAAACACCTGTATGGCTTTATATCAGATACCTATTTATAGCAATTTGTAATTGATTGTATTATAAATATTTCTCAGAATTTATGCAATTTTATAAAGTTAGATAGGGATCCATTTTTTCTTCGGGAGATCAGTGGCTCTGAACTACAACGTTTTTAGTACCCTTTAACTAGGGTTTATCAAATATGTATGATAATAGTAACGATTGTAAGTTTTTTCGATAGTAAAGAAAATTATTTTTTAAACAGTTCACTATGAAAAATTTAAATATTTTGTCTTGTGAGTGGATATTACTCTCCCAAAAGATTATGTTTTGAGCATTATTGTGCATAAAAATGTTCTCAGCATATTATCGAAAAAAAACATGCTCGAGAATAAACTAAATTTCAAAAAACAGTTGAATAAAATGAACAATATTATTCATAATTACAAAAATATTAATTTGTTCAAAAATGCTCGTATTCAGGGAATATTTAGCGAAAGATTATTCTCTAGCAATTTATAACACTATAATAATGAACATTGTATATCTCGTAATATTCATACAATGATAAAGGTATGTATAGTGTATAAACATTATTAAACTAACTTTTATTTTCTTAACGATTATCCTACTCGTATATAGTTATTAGTGTTTAAAAATCAATTGGAAAAAACCGTTTAGTTAGAAATAGGTCAAACAAAATCTATAAACAATAATGTTTAAAATACTTATAAGCCGGGTAAGGTAATACTTAAATAATGAATATTATTACCTGTGGTATACGTATAGGTATCTATAATGTATTATTAAAAGTATAAAATAAATATTTTAAACTTAAATTTTATTTTAAATTAATTAATCGACTGCAATTTGTCCAGTCGTGATTTAAGCAAATATTATCTTGAAATCGTATAGCCGTAAAGAATAGATATAGGGCACCAAGTGGAATATTAAATTATATAAATGGCTACATGATACTTGACAATTTAATGAAATTAGTAAAAAATGTATCGTACTCGTAATATTGAGTAAAAAAATCATAATTTTTGAGCATTAAAACAAATATATGAATTAAACATAACATTAACACTATCACCTTTCTACAAGCTCCTCAGAGCTGCCACTATAACTTTCAAATTTTCCCGTTTCTCTAGCCCACCCGGTATATAGGAACTAGGAAGTCGTATTAATTACAGATAAAAAATAAAGAAATCAAAGGGAAAAATATACCTCCCGAATCGCCCCCTGGTGTATACTGTCTTACTGGTGTAAGAAATTACGTCACCGCCAAATTATAGTCACACATTTAAAATACGACAAACAATAATTACTAATGACTATATAATATTACCGAACAGAGGTAAAATATTTTTGAACTCGTATTTCCGAGAAGCTATATTTATATTCGTATTATTACAATATATTTAAAAAAAATTAACGAAACCTATCTGAAAAACATTCTGCAGCTAAGTAATAATATATTCGGTTTATCGAAACGAATATATTTCCGAAGTTACAACAAATGATCGAAAATATAATATGGGTACTCATATTTATCGTTAGTGTCATTATACTACAGAAAAACGCTTTCCCGAATTGGAGAAAAGTACTGTACCTATAATATACTAGTAGGTACTTTATACATATTTTACTATTATTATATTAAATAAATATATATACACGTGTTTAAATGTCTTAGACACTGTGTTTTATGGCACGAGAAAAAAAAACCATAAGAACGCGTATAAGTGTTCTACTGGCTGAACGGTATAATAATAATATGAATACGGAACGTATTTTTTTTTTCTTTTAATAGCTTTTATCTATTACGCCGAACAACGGTGGAAAAATTTGCAATACATGAATAACATATAGGTACCGAATAATAATAATAATTCATCGAATATATAACGACTAACGAGGATAGTTAGGTATAGTTACTTTTTTCCCCGTCCATTTAAAGTGTCAAAATATACGATTCAACTTAGTTTTTCTTTTTTTCGCGGGCATCCATACCAACTTATCATTTTTTTTTTCTTGTTATTATTCTTCGCGAAAACTGTCGTCGACAACGTCCGTTAAACTACAGTCTCATTGGCTTGGTTTTATATTCAAAGTGTCCCTCTATAGATACCTCTATACATGCCTCATCTACAATTTTCTCAAAATAGCAATAACAATATACGCCCGTGTATAACTACTATATTAAATGCATCAACGTTTCAAAATCTTAAATCAATTTCATTAATTACAATATGTATATAGTACATCGATCGATTTTAGAAAAATATGACGTATATAACCTACCTGTACTCGTGACGTGACATAAATTCGAATTTCTTATTACCTACAGATTTCCCGATGGCCTTTGGATGGCACGGCGCTGTCATATTTTACAAAAGCTTATTGAAAAGCAGTACCTATTTCGTATACAACCGTGACGTAGATACGCTAAACAGTATATACCTAGGTATAAGATAAATGTAAGGTTTTAATGTAATATGACACGAGCTCATCGTGTCATTTTTTTTATTTTTTTTAACGTAACTTTTCGTAAGTAATTTCGATCTAACGTGTTTGTGTTAATTTTTTGTCGAAAACGTAACTATATAAAGTTAAATTACTTGTTCGGTGCAATAATAATATAACTATACAGTCAAATTACCGACGCGATCTTCTTTTTTCGACAATCGCTAAACTATTTTCTAAAACACTGACAAAAGTAACTTCCGATTCTCTTAACTATATATATATATAGCCAGGTAGTGGTGCCCCGACTAGGATATATTCTCCTGCGGTATGTTTAGTACACGCCACATGGCGTATAATAATATGAACGGAGAAGTATAATAATAATATCAAGTACGAGCCGGGTATGGAACGCGAAATAAACGTCGGCGAAAAATTAGTTCCGGCCCAGTTATCCCATCAGGTCGGATATAAACGCGTGTTTTTCTCCCCGGTCGTGTATATAATAATAATAATATTATTATTACTCTACTCTTTACATTATCATTCCCGGCAATGCGTCGCCAGCCGCTGCGGTCCGTCCGCCGAACTATCGCCGCGGCTTAGACGAGGAGCGGAAAAATAAAAAAAAAAACACACACGCGACGGTCGTTAATACACCCGTACTGTATTATTATAGGTGTACTCACAATACAATATTATTATCATCATCATTATAACCGTGTATGTAGGCCGTTCTTAAACACAAAGGCGGAGAGCGAACGGAACACGACGGTACAAATATTTATTGTGATCATTATTGTCGCCTCCGTTGTTGTATTTATCTTTCTGCGGTCCCCGGGTCCGGGGAAATAATAAAGGAAAACCGCGGACCAATTCCGGTGTGTGCGAGACGGTCTCTCGACTGTCGTCGGCGCGGCGGTGACGGTTTGCAGCGCCCAGGGAGAGACCGCGCAGAGGCGGCGGCGCGTACGCACGTCATTTACCTATCCGGCCCGTCTGTATAATACTCTGGCGAAATAATAATTAGATCGCATCTCGGGAAAAATGATAAAATAAAAATATTATTTATGTCCGTCGGGGAGACCGGAGAGACAGCACAATAGATCGCGTATATTCGGTACGTGTTTGATACAACACGACGGGCGCACGCACGCGAGATACGAAATGTGCGACAACACAAAGGCGATGGAAATAATTGCCGTTCGGGAAAAACTGTCATAATATATTATTATTATATTATTTCGTACTTATATTCTACGTTAACGTGTTATCACGCGTGTGCGTGTGTGAGATGTTTTGGCCGCGCGGCAATTTGAAACCGTTACTCGGTTTATGTATAGAGGCACACGCGTATTATTATTGTTACACGATCGTACGCTTGTTTATTTTGTCGCCACTATAGCAGTATTATTATACTATTATTTTTTTTTTCCGTACGTATGTAAAAAAAAAAAAAATAGGTAAGAACGTGTAGTAGTGATTATTTTTTTTTTTCTGAAAACGTTTCGTTTCATTCACGGCGCTGTGCACGTCGAAATTTGCATATATTTTTATTGATTGATTTGGTATTTACAGCACTACGAGACGGTACCGACATTTTAATGTGTAAGTACCTGCGGTTGAAAAAAAAAAATGTAATTATTGTAAATTTATAATATTCCATTAGAATGGTGATTATATAAGCAATAATAGCCATATTATCATTATAACGTATTACGAACATTAAAACACGGTTACAGAGATGTTTTCATTGCTTTTTTGATAATTTTATAGGGAAATATATATCAATAATCAATTATACAAAATTGAATGTGTCAAAGATCATGTGAATAGCTTGCTACTCAAAAACAACTAATCTACAGGGATGTAACAAAATTGACTCTAGAAAGTCAGAGATATTAGCGGACATAGATTTCGAAGAGATATAAATATGTTGGGGTGAACATTGGGAAAATATGGCTGCTAATAGAGATCGGTTGATTGGGTGGTTACTACGACGATTATATACTAAACCAAAAAAAATAACTGAAAAATCAAAAAAACATATTTATTACACATGACATAATAACATCATAGGTAAACACACAATATAAACTTTTGCAGCAAAATGTCTGCAGTTAAAAATTGAAACATTCGCAACGTTGACCAATTGATAAAATGTACTACCTACGGTTTGTAAAGGTAGTTATCAAAAAAAAAAATAATACACAATATGTATCGATTCTAATAGCAGCCAGCACAGTATAACGAACATAGGTACACTAATGTTCATTTACACACGCACATATTGACATGATCCGGACGTAATTGCATTATAAGTTGCCTAATTCTAACTCCTTAAAAAAATGATCGACTTGAACCTCCTTAACTGCCAAAGTTTACAATTCCAAGTGATTACGTTCTAGTAACTTACCGTTCACATATTTCCGGATTTAAAACATTAACATTTCAGTTTTATGCTGTTTAGAATTTTACGGAATTTTAAATATTAAATTCCAAATTTATACCATTCAAGTTTCAAGTCCAGGCTATTACGTATGAACCTCGTTTAAACTTGAAGGAAGTCTATTTTGAGTAAAAAGAAGAAATCGAAATCCCCCAGACTCCTAGAAAATTGATTTTGGTTTTCGAAAGGATGAGAGCTTCGTAAAACATGTATCAATTAAACACAAACAAATTATATAAAAACTAACGGATGGCTAGAGAAAGTTCAAATAGTAGGTAACCAACAAAATAGTATTGATATAGGTACCTAATTTATCAATGAAAAAAATCTAGGTGTCACTAATTCAATATTTGAAGAAAATTATCATACAATGAAAGCAACGCATACTGTTTCCCACATTACACGCGAAAAAATATACGAGTACCTTCAACTATTCCATACTAGCATAATATATTTGTGCAACTGTTATATTTATAGGTACACCTAATATTACACAAACCAAAAATGATGACATGCAAAAATAATTGCGTACAATTAAATCATGGTTTTTGATTTTTATCAATTCTCCATACCACGTTTAAATATATCGTATATACCATTATACTTGCACACAAATGAAATTATACAGGTATATTTGGTATATATATTTCGACGATGACGCATTATTTTATAAATGGAAAATAAAGTTATAACACGATATATTAATATTCTACATCAAATCACAATGTTTACAGACCGTTATACATTATCATTATTGCCGACAAAATATCGTAAGGAAATATCATCGTCGGTAAAATATCACATGGTCAACATGCCAATCGTCCAGCTATCTTTATATCCATCGCCAACAGAAATATTTCGATTTGGTCAGCCTTCTAAATATCTTCCGCGTATTCTGTTTTATTAGATGACAGTATACAAATTATTTCCCATTCGTATTATTTTATTAAATTGTACTGTTGTACGTTGATACAATTATACCACGCTTTATCACCTAACCATATTCATATACATTACACAATTGCAATTACTTTATAAGTAGGTAAACTATACTTACGTCCTACATACATAATAGTTACAAACAAAATATTACGTGTCAAACTTTTTAATTTGTGTTTAAAGGGCGTTTACGATGAAACGGAAACATTGCCAAAGTGGAAGAGCAGAACAACGCCCAAATCGAAAATCACGAGACTGCAGGAAAAACGGGAAAGGAGACCATCAGACGACGTGGACATCCACAGAGCGTACACAGGCATGGACAGAGAAATCGTCGAAGAGTTCATTTCCGTCACCATGGATCCGAAACACTATAGCTGATCGCGAATACATCACGTGTTCAAACTAGGTATATATAATTATGTACATTGAAACCTCTACAAGAGATGTTGTACCGTCGCTGAATGTGTACTTCAGGTCGGTCCTTATCTATAAGGACTAAAGATACTAAATTACAGTATAAGAAAGTGGTCAATCACACGATGCATGCTGTTGGGTTGATCTAACTATCTTAATATATTATATTCATAGAACTATTAAGTTTTTTCCAATAATACAATAACGTAATATTTCAAAACAAATTATGCATTTTGTCTCAATAATTTATGTATTAGGATAATAATGAATTATAGAGTATACCAATTTTGTCATTGATGAGAAAACCGTATACTATTCGAGTATACAAAATGACGGCCCATCCAATACCTAGCGTTAAGCTAAGTTGTCCACTCTCTTAAACGAACTCTTTAAAAATAACTTAAGAAGACGATATACGTGCATTTGTCGTTTCCGTCATACAAACATCAGATACAGTTAAAACATGCTTACGCAGAATACACAGAACTCGATTCATTTTGGTTTTAGAATAAAAACACCAATTATATAATCAAAAGATATTCCAGAGGACAAGACGTTGCATTTTTTTCCATTTTCTCCGAATAACAGTCAATTTACCGTTTATAAATAACTAATTATTCGTCGTTTTTTTAATTAGCTAAAAAACCGCGTCTTGTCCTCCGGAATATTGTTTTCGATTAATTTCATAATAAGTGCTTTTACTTTAAAACCGAAACTAATCGAGTTCTGTTTAGTCTATGTAAGCATGTTTTTATTATATCTTATGTTTGTAAGACAGAAACAACAAATGCATGTGTAACATCCTATTAACATATTATATTATATACTTCTCTGTAGAAAAACTTATCATTTTAAAATATTACAAGAATATTCCTGTGCAATGTATTATTATTATTATTATTATTATTATTATCATTATTATTATTATTATTATTATTGTATAATTTATCGTATAACGACGAGTTACGAGCGCGAAATATTTTAATATCGTTATAATTTTATTTATTAAAATATGTAATATAATGACATTTATAATATCCAATAACTATGTGTATATCTAATAATCTAAATGACTACATATTATAATATGGTGTTATCGTTTATGCGTTATCCCTAACATGGGGTCGGTTTCACGATCGTCAACCGCTTCGTGGTTGGCAGATCCTTCGACGTGAACGTAATACACTCCTAATTTGTAATTGTTATGAAGCCAATTCAATAGGACCGCGATCGCGGCGAACACCACAAACATAGTGAGACAGGAGATACACCACGCGTTCTGTACTTCGTCCCGGGTCCCGTTGAAATATAAATGAATCATAATGTGTTGACAAGGCGACGAATTATTGCAGGTACGCGAAGATGCCGGATGGCGTTTTCCGGGCGGATTCTTACGGCTATCTGTTTTCGCCAGAGAATCCGCAGTCTGTCGGAGAGTCTTCAGTCGGTCCTTCGATAACTACAATAATATTTTACTTTAATTTTATTTCCGATAGCAGGAAAGCATAATTAAGTACCGATCGATTCTTTTTTTTAACTATCTCAAATATACTATAACATACTATATAACCTAACCAATTGCAACGTGCATATTATTTGCACGGATAAAAAAAAGTATACATACCAATTCCGTCCCTGATAAAAAGATTAACTGAAAAACTACAATATTATATGATATATAATTACTATATCAGTGCAATAAAAATAATAAATCTAGACCCGCAGACACACAAATAATGACTGGAAAGTTTAAAAGTTAAATAGTATTATCTTTATTTTTAAATAATACAATCTTATTAAATTCGATTATTTAGTGCCAAAACTAAAAGCAATATTACCTTTAAATTTAAATAATATACTATTTTTATCGTAGTGGTAAATTGTATACTACATTAATATAGTGTAGAAAATGTAAAATGAGAAAAAACTCGTAAAACTAAATAAATTGTATGAGACGGAATTAGTATATCCATTTTAAAAACCCAGGACAGAACTAGTATATCCTCAAATTCAAATTTTACGTTTGGGATGGAACTCGAGTGCAGCCAAGCAAATGTATAGGTACGAATCTCTTGGTAAAAATTCAATAAAGTACATGGAACTATGGATTAGATTCACAAAGTGTAGCAATGAAAATTCTAAAAATAGATTTGAATTCAATACTTGGTGAAACCATTTTTCGGATTTCAGCATTTTAAAAGCTGAAAACATTTATTTATTTATATATTATATATATATATATATATATATATATATATATACATATTTGTAAAAAAACTGAAATTAAATTAACGGATTTCATACTTATACTTCTCGCTGAATTCGAATCTATATTAAAAATGATTATAACTTCACAAAGCATCCTTAACAGTACAATGACCGTTGTGGGATGTTCTACACGAGCTTTGTGGCTATAATAGAAAGCTCCAGAGTTCAGACTATCCGCACGACTGCCTGCCAGGACCCAACTGGGAACCATTTTGGAATGATCATAAAGTCTTAAACGTTACCTAAACTATTTGGTAGAAATATTGATATTGATCCAGTATCAAATTTTTAAATAAGTGGTTCCGGACTGGATCCAAACACCGATCCAACATCAAATTTTGAATACTGTAGGCCCTACATAAAAACGGACATTGACAGCAGTATTAAAATGGTTTCATTGTTTATAACTGCTTCCAAGTAACATAAAAATAAAAGCCGCGAAAGAATTGACTGGCCGTACGTATAGTACGGCGCCGTCGTAGGTATACGGCGCACCCGATTTTTTAATCCGTGCCTAAGCGCGGTGCAACCGGGTACCTTATATTGGCTAAGGGTGGCTATTCACCCCGAGGAATCAGGGCAAGCCCCGGATGCGTATCGACGCAACAGAGCGCGGTCCCAGTTCGCGCTTCTTAATTCGCCGCACCGTCCGCCTACGGTTCGACCGCCGACAGATAGGTGGCTTATTAACCACTACCTAACGAAACTCATAGGCCCGTCCGAATCCAATCGTAAGGCACCGACCACGACATGATGAAACCGGGACCGACACCCAGCCACCGACGAAACGGATGATCAGTGCGTACCGGAGGTGGCCGGGAGTGTACAGATACGCGCGTGATAACACAATCTCCGTTGCCAGAGGTGAGTGGGCCGTCCGAGAACATCCAACGCTGTGACCCAACGGTTGGAAAGCAAGAAGACCCCCGAAGAGGCGAGCCTGCAGTCTCGATCTCTCGACGGATACAACCTCGGTGGGGGAGTTCCAACACTCCCCCACCCAACGAGAATTTGTACACGTTCGCACCGGGATAAATCCACGGCACAACTAATATCTAACGCCACGAAGAGACCTGTACTGTCTAAAAAGCCAGAGAAGCAGTCTCTTCGGACGACGTAGGTATATATAATATAGTATAAAGTGATAAGATCAATCGATTTCAACCATATCTAACACATGGGAAATGTGACAAATTAGTTATTTTGTTTTACGTTCTGTTAAAAACAAAAATAGCGTTCATTTTAAGAACGATCAATACAATGATAAACGATTGGTAACGGAAAACGATTTGGAGCCAAATTCGGTAATACAAGTTTTAAAATACACTAATATCGTCAATTGGACATTAGGAATAAACCACAAGAGGATGTCAGCACAATTATTTTACGATGAAAAACACGGATTGACATTTCTATTTTCTGAACCAACTCACGAATTTCTCAAACATACGAGACAAAAACTCAATGATGAACAATATTTTCTAGTGTCCTAGGATGCCAATTTTTTAAATCTTAATTTTTTTTTATCAGTTTTAATTATATAAATAAAAAAACTGATATTTTATCAATCTATCAACTATATTCAAAAGTAGGTAACAAAAAAAGACACCGTAGAGCGCTATTTATAATTTTATCCTTAGCATTTTGTTATTTGTTTCATCACTCTCAGTTGGTTCCCGAGATAGTCAAATTGCTTCCCGGAGGGAGGTCTGGGTGCGCGTTGATTGGACTAAAACAGTCAGTTCCCGAGGCCGTCTAGCACAGATTGAAAAGGAAAATTGGTCAGTCAAAAATTTAAATGGCTATGCTATGCATTTATCAGACAAAACAAAAAAATAACGGTATCCGATCATCATAAATTAGTTAGTTATAAATTAGTTAAAATAATGCGCCTATAGATATTAGGTAGGATTGATAATACACACATTTTGATTTTTTTTTTTTTTTTACTTTGTAAAGTAAAATTAAACGATTTACCTTAATAGGAACGGAAATGTTTTTAATTTCTTTTTTCAATCGAGAATTTTTATTTGGTTTTAATCTAATATCGTTGAACGGAAATCCAAAAACTGGCAAAACCAAACAAATTGACAGCAACAAATACAAAATACAAGTGGACATCATTTTGCAGAATTAAGTGATCATTACTATAACAAAACTTATTATTTCGTAGTTGAAACAGTATATATTATCATTATTATTAAATATAAAGTTCACTTAATGATTAAAATTTCCATAGAAACCAATATGTATAAATTATTTTGCATTATTATTTTTTCGAAAATATATTGGGACCCACTGAACAGGTTCGTGTAGGGACCCACGAGTTCACAATTTATAATAAGTTCTCCTCGATTTTATATTCCTATTTGCTCGGCTAATTATCTCCAAAACGAGCTCGTCACCCGCATGGCGAGGCTTGCCAATAATAACCCATAGTTTCAATCCTACTAATAAGCGAATCTTATTGTATTTGTATTATAATTACTAAGTTTTTTTTTTCATACTATTTTATTATAAACGCCGTTTGGCGTTAATTAATGATAATAATAATAAGGAAAATAATACATTCAAATAATAATTTACATTTAACTTTTTTTTTTTTTTACAATTTTAGACTTAATAGATACATCTCAAAACGTATTCACCGAATTCCTTGATATCTAATAGGTAAGCAAACACGCACAATATTTAAGACCGGCGTCATACTTGCGGAAATTCCACGTGGGATAATTCCGAAAAATATGTAGGTATATGACAAATTTAAGTTTTTTCTAGTTTTTAATTCTATTTAAGTTTGGTGGTACTAGTTAGTAGTGATTATGTTATTACTACCATAGTACTGTCAGCCGTAGGGTTGCTATACGTCACCGGTTTTTGACTTGTACCGATGTCCCGAAAATAAATGTCAGCACGCCAATATGTCGTGCTGACATCTCAATATTTTAAGAAAAAACTAATATTATTTAATATCGACATTTTCTTCGAATAATAACTCTAATCAACAGATAACGATAAGATTTTAAAACGAATACGGGATAAAATAATGATTATAAAACCACAGATATATTTACTTAGTTAATAATACTGTGTATTATCTAAGGACATAATATAACTTTTATCTGTGAATAAAAATATAAAACCATATATACCTAGTATTCAAAATCCAAACTAGTTATAACGTGTATGTTTTAAAACAATCTTTTTGAAAATTAAAAAAAAAAATAAATGTGTTCTTTTTATAAAAATTTATAATTTATAAAAATAAAAGATAAATGTAATTTTTGTTCCATTGTTTTAGTTTATAAGGCATTAACTAATTATTTGGGTTTTTTTTTAAATACATATAAGTTAAATAGGTATGATTCAATCATATTTTTAGTCTAATTGTATTTGCTATTTTTTCTAAGTCTTCCCAAATTTGCATTATGAAATTATTGCAACCCTAGTTTGCAAGAAGAATGGTTTTAAAATGATGATTTAATAATGATGTAATCTGTGAACAACATTTCTACCAGAAATATTCTCAGGAATTTTCTCCTGAACTAATATTTAATAGTATTACTTACTTACATTTTTTCTTTTCTTATTGTTTTCAGTATTTTTAAGATTTCAAGTAACCTGAAATGAATTACTCAAATCAATTGAATGAAATCCCTTAAACATTTGAACGTCAAACCGATGCTAAAATTGTTTTTATTTATAAGCTTATAACTCATAAAATAATTATCATTAAAATATGAACTTGACAAAGAATATCAGTTTATCAGTGAAGGATTTTAAAGGCAAAAAATATAAATCGTTATGTATAGTAAATCTTCACACAAATTCTATATTTCGTCAATACAATATCATTACAAAAACGGAATATAAATTGTAAAAATAATTAATTCAAACTAAATCCTACATATAGTGCAAGTGGCCACAAAACTTGGAGAAAATTGTTTTGGTAAACCACCAAGTTTTCCATCTAAATTAGCTGGTAATTTATAATAATTACTTTTACTTTTATGTATCATAATTTTAAAATATAGGCCTAGATTAATTGGTAGCCACATGCCCTACAACTACGTGAATTATGTATTTAAAACTATGTCTCCATTATGATTAACAATAACATTAGAATAGTTTACGTTTTATGTACATAAAAATAGTAGATATTAGGTACATTATGCGCCATTGCTAAAATTTTTGAACATTAAAAAATAATTTAAAATACTTACAAACGCACACATTTTAATATTAATTTAATTTCTTTGACGGTAAAATACTCTATTCGAACTAAGAAAAATGTAATCAGTCTATTTCCTATTTTGAATAAATTCTAAAAGCTATATTTTGGTTGTTTCAACAATGAGGAAGACCATAAAATATATTTATATGGCAAGTTGGTACTCAAATTTTCAGATTTAATTGGAAAAATAAAATTAGATAATTTAAGCAAATTTATACAAAGCAAAGAAGAATTTGAAAATTAAAAATTAAAACTAATAATAAAATGTCGGTTAATATTGCACCGTTCAATGATGTGATTATTTTAAAAGTCTAAAATATATATGTGTATATAATATATAAATATACATACTTAACCTTAAATAAATTATTAACTGTTAATGTGAAATATATACAATATATAATTCAATGGCAATATTCTTACGCTTTTGTTATTTACATTATTATAACATATTTATCCAGTGTAAATAATTAATTGAAACTACACCGGTAACAATGTTTCAGCATAAAAAAATATACTAATATTACTAAATAATACATATTCGATCTCATATCATAAAACTAAATCTAGAGTCAATTATTCAGTAATAGTCTACACATAGGGCACGCTCACACACTTAAGCATTTATAAACATTATGTTGTATTATAGTTGTATAATATTTAAAATGGCTATACAAATTATGACATTGTGTTTAAAGATAATAAAGTAATAAGTAAAATTTCCAATACACGCGAAAAACCTTAACAAATCATAATTTCAAAACAAAACAAAAAAAAATTATTTTATGTCGCCAAAAAAAACATTACTACATTTACAACAAAAAGTGTAAAATTAAAATAATGTTTTCAGTGTTTCATGTGAAATCAATCGATCAATCTCAATGGCGAATCATAGATAAATTTGAACTTGTAATGTTTCAAAAATTTAAAAATGTAGTCATCTAATTTAACTATGTAAAAATTAAATGACCGCTAAACAAATATTCTCCCATCAAACATACTTACCTGGGCCTAAGAAGCATATAAGGGTACAACATTCAAATACAAATTCCTTATCAATTTTTATTTTGATGTTATTTGTAAATATACTCGCAATATTAGAAACCTTATTCAACATAATTGCAGAAAATTTGCAGATACGTGTTGTTGCTGTTGGCCAATATATACATAATATCAAAATAGGTGTTGCAATTTTCTGCATTGTGTGCTATTTGGCTATATGAAATATAGTTTTTTTTTTTTTACTATTCGCATTTGTTTGCTAGATTAGTAAACAGATGGACAAAATTACAATTCCAAAACACACACAATAATGTTTGATCTGCTAATCATATTTAACACTTACCTAAACTTTTAAACTATGGAATATACACATTTGAATGTACGTACTTGGTACTTTAGAAAAGCCATACAACTGTATTATAATGATTTTTATGTATATTTTATTAAAAAATTAAAAATTTGGTGTATCAAGAGAAAATTCTACATGTCCATATGAATCTGTCAATGAAATATTATTTAACTTTTAAACATTATAATTCTAACCTAAGTGTATTATAAATCTATTTATTAACATAATTTTATGGCACTGAAAATTTAAAACCAAATAAATGTTAGTTTAAATGTATTGAATCTTAATGTATCCTAATGTACCCTAATGCTTCATAGGCGCCGTCAAAAAAAAAACAAAAATAAAACAGTATAATAATACTGTAAAAAAAGTAAAAAACACCACGATAAAACCCATAAATAAATTATTCAATTTAAAATAATTAAATAATTTCAAAACACAAGATAGAAAGTTTCAATGAGATCATCATTAGTGTTCAAACATCTTCAGATGTTGATTTTAATATTTCGCGCGCAATACAAACTAAGCCATTGTAACTACCAATATATAATATATGAGTACAAGAAACTGGTTCGTTGCTCAACGGGGTTAAGATATATAGTTAAATCAATAGAAAAAACGAAATTGTAAATGTAGTAATAAATAAACTGATAAATAAAACAAAACCAACGAAAGTCAAATTTCCAAGCAAAATAAATCAAAAAGAAAAAAAAATTAAAGAAATACAAAAAAAAAAAAAAAAAAAAAAAAAAAAAAAAAAAAAAAAAAACAAATAAATAAAAATGAATGACGATTTGAATACGAAAAATAAAAATAAAAATGTGCAGCAAAAACAAACAGAACGGAAATGGGAAATAAAAAGTTGTCGTGTCCGAACTCCAAGAAGTTTACGTGACTGCGGCCAATAGGCTAGCGGCGGTTGGTGGGGGAAGATGGAGGTTTGGAGGCGGAGGAAGAACAGGCAGTCCAACTTGTGTACCCACACTGACAGAATGCTGGGGCATTGGATGGGGCTGATGCAGGCCGATCATTTCCGACACATTTTCTTGCTTCATCAAATGTTTCAACATGAAAGATGCATTGGTGCCATGGTCTTTTGTAAATTGACCAGTTTGAAATTGTTGTTTGGTGTTGGTGTGACTGCGCCGGTGCGACACTAAGTGCCCTTTGCACATGAAATCCTTGGGGCACAGATCACAACGAAACGGACGATCGGCCGGCATGCCCTTTTGATGGGACCTCTGATGGAACAGGAGGTTGCCCTTGAGGCGGAATGCCTTGCCGCAGTCGGTGCACACGTACGGACAATCGCGGGGATGGGTCAACATGTGTTCGAGCAACGGTTCCTTGGCAGAGAACACCTCGGAGCAGATGATACAATTGTACTCTGCCCCCGGCGCGTGCTGGCGCACGTGACGTTTCAGATGTTCTTTGCGTGCAAAGGTTCGATTACAGAATTCGCAAGCGTGTGGCGACTCGCCTGTGTGAATACGAATATGACAAGTAAGATGTTCTTTGCGCGTAAACGTTTTAGGACAAAAATGACATCGGTGTGGTGACTCACCAGTGTGCTGACGGATGTGGTTCGTCAGGTTCTCTTTTCTAGTGAATGACTTCATGCAGAATGTGCACTTGTGCGGCGATTCACCAGTATGCCGCCTGATGTGGTTGACCAAATGATCTTTTCGTGTGAACGCCTTTGGACAGTACTGGCACGGGAACGGCGTTTCTCCTGTGTGTTGACGCTCGTGGTAAACCATGTGGTCTTTACGCGTGAATGATTTCGAGCAGTAATTGCAGTGGTGAGGTGTTTCACCTACACAGTGGACCAAACAAAAACCCATGTCAATCAATCAACACGCGAGGGACACACACACACACACACACACACACAATCATACATACACACACATACGCGAACATTTAAGTAAGTATATATATAAGTATATTTTGTTTTTGTTTGAATATGTAAAAACTCTTATTTTAGTGCCCACTTAAGACTGACACCAACCCGATTCCATAGGGTAATTTTAAAAAAAGAATACTCTCTCATTCCTCATTTTGATCACCAAACTTTTTCATTAAATTATTTTTATTATATAAATACATATATATATATACTTTTGTATGTTTAGAATTACATACGTACATACATACACACATACATATATTAATATAATATATACATATATTTATATAAATATATGTGTATATATGTATTTGTTTAATATTTTAAGTTAAATGGGTTTTGATTTGGTCCACACTAACATTTAGCACAATTGTGCAGGAATCTACCAGTTAATTTGCAAGGAGTTATTATTGTGGGTCATATTAGAGATTTGCAAAAACACTCTTTACTTAATTTAATAAAAAATAAATAATAATAAAATAAAGACAACAATGGTACACCTGTATTATTAATTTATCACTAATTACTTTTTTAAAACATGTAGAACAAAATTATAAAGGAAGAAAATTAATGTTTTCCCTGAACACTTAAAATAAATAATGAAAGAATATAATATCACATTTAAGTTAATTTATTAAATAAATTGTAAAATATAAACAATTTTCAAGACTTGCATGTCAATGAAAATATAACAAATAAAAAATGTTTGTATTAGTAGTGATTTAGAAAAAGCAGTGGTCATACAATTTATTTAAACAAATCATATTATATTTTAGATGGTTAAGTGAAATTTTTTCTAGAATTTGTATGTTTCCAAAGTCTCAGCTATTATAGAGACACATAATATAAGTTCTATTTTACCTTAAAATAACTGTTTTTTTATTTTATTTTCATAGAAAGGTGTACCATTTATTGCCCACTGGCGTAACCGACAAATGAGGACCCCCTTTTTAAAATGGTTAAATATTAAATGTAACCATTGAGTTCTCTTCACTAATCCTGATAGAAGAGGTTTGTGTCATAAATGGGCACGTAAAATAAGAACATTTGTTTAAAAGATGTCATATAATGATTCATATATTGTAACTAAACTATAAATAGCATGTTTTAAATTAATTGTTCTATTGTATAATGATTTTGTGTATATATATTAATATACACGAAAAACAAACAGTTTGTGTGCAAGTATTATGAAATTTCTGCCTGATATAAGTTACTTTTAGGAGTAAAATCAGTTTTAATGTTGTGTGCGATCACAAAATCAAAAAAACTTAAAAACTAATAAGATTTCTTGGTACTTAATTACATTATATTCACAATTTAAGTGTTAAATAATGGAATGATCAAATAATAAAACCTAAAGTAAATATTATAAATAAAAAAAAAAAAAACCAAAACAAGAAGTTATATGATTTCTACATAGTAAAGTTACTATTTTATTAATATTTACATAAGACTGAAAACTTTGTATAGTTAGGAAATATAATACTAAAAAAAAAAAAAAAAAAAACTTTAAATATTGTTACCTTTACCAATTAATAATAAGATAAAATAAAATATTATAAATATCATATACATTAAAACTTATAGATTAAAATTAAAGACTATAAAGATGATAAATATTATTTATTAAGAAATTATTTAACAAATTATACAATTTTTTTTAACTTATACATAGAGAAAAATGTCCTAATATTAACTCAATGCATTAGATTTCATACTAAAGTTAGCTTATTCTATAATATATATATATATATATATATATATATATATTTTTTGTTTTTTATATATGTATATATAAATCATTTTCTATAAAAATTATTTTCTTCTAATTTATTTAGTTTAAAAAGTAAAATAATGTTATTAACCTTTAATTAATATACTCAAATGTCAACAAAATATAAATTGTATTTAAAAATGCCATTATTGTCGCGAACAAGAACACCAAACTTGACCTACTGAAAATTAAGAAACCCTACTCCAATAATAATTAATTTATGTAACGGCTGCTAACAAACTAGCTCTAGAATGTGGAGTTACGTGCTCACTATTCTGTGGTGGTGGTAAAGTCACTTGTGTTCCTACACTAACTAACTGGGCAGTCTGAATACTAGATGATCCATCTGGCTGTTGTTGATGCAACGTAATTAATTCAGTTCCTTCACCTTCTTGTTTTACTAAACCCTTAAGTACAAATGAGCCATTACTAATCTGAATAGTTGGAGGAAAATGATTGTTTTTTTGCAACAACATATCATATGGTATGGATCGCTCTCCTTGGTTATTTAACTGATGTAGATTAACTAATTCTCCCTGTTCTTTTCCATTCTTAATAACAAATGAATTATTTCCAAGAATTTGAATCGTGGCTGGGAATGTAGTTTGAACTTTAGGATTTGTATGGCTACGGCGATGTGAAACAAGATGACCTTTAAACATGAAATCTTTAGGGCACAGATCACACTGAAATGGACGGTCCATAGGCATACCCTTTTGGTGGGAACGCAAGTGAAACAAAAGATTTCCTTTAAGCCTGAACGATTTCCCACAGTCTGTACATACATAAGGATAGTCTTGTGGGTGTGATGCCATGTGTTCCAGTAATTGCTCTTTAGTAGGCATGGTTTCATCACATATAAGACAGTTATATTCAGAACCGGGAATATGCTGGCGCATGTGGCGCTTCAAATGTTCTTTACGTGTAAAAGTACGATTACAAAACTCACAGGCATGAGGTGACTCCCCAGTATGAATACGAATATGACAAGTAAGGTGTTCTTTACGCGTGAAGGTTTTAGGACAAAAGTGACATCGGTGTGGTGACTCACCCGTATGTTGGCGTATATGATTGGTCAGATGCTCCTTTCTCGTAAACACTTTTAAACAATAAGTGCATTTGTGTGGTGACTCGCCTGTATGACGTCTGACATGATTCACCAAATGGTCCTTGCGAGTGAAAGCCTTTGGACAGTACTGGCACGGGAACGGCGTTTCTCCTGTGTGTTGACGCTCGTGGTAAACCATGTGATCTTTACGCGTGAACGATTTTGGGCAGTAATTGCAGTGGTGAGGAGTTTCACCTATACAGTGGACCAATAAACATATTAGCTAAATGTCTAAAGACAAAAAACTCTTTTTTAGTTAAGTTACCTCATAATAATAAAATGTTTATTTTCAAATAAATTTTATTAATTCTGATTAATATAAAAAAAATAAGTCAACTTTGACTAATGAATTTTTATTGGTCCACTATATACCAATTACACTAGAGCGCTAATATCAATACTTATTGCTTAATAGATAGTTCTGCCTAAATAATTTTTTTTACAATACCAAAAATTATTGTTTAACCATATTTTGCTTGTTTTATTCTAATTCAGAAGTCAGAACATAGACAAATATTATTGACACGCACACAACATTTTTGATTAGGCTACTAACAAATGAATTCCTAATAAATAAGGCATTTATGAAACAAAATAAATGAACCCAGATTTAATACCAGCATACGTTTTGGTTCATTATTTTTGTCGGATACGCTTAAAATAAACAAAATTAAAACAAACAGGCACCTGAACGAAAATGAAATAGTTTAACACTATCAACCAAAAAAAAAAAAATAATAATAATAATAAAAGTAAAAATAATAATAAATAAAAACGGAAAAGAAAACTCAATGGAACGAAAAAAAAATTAAAACAAAAATAATAAATAAAAAATAAAAACGGGAAGAAATGTAAATCTTAAAGAGCAATACAACTTACGATAAGTAGAAGGACCAGGCTCCATGTTCATAGAATATTCGGCAGCGTTTTGTATACCACCTATAAACCGTTTATATTTTTCAAAGAACTAGACTACTGCAGTAAGTACATCAAAACATCAAAATTGTAAACAAATGTTTGTATCAAGGTGATCAAGGTGACACACAACCCTTGGAACTATTATGGGCATATTTTATACATTATATTATAACGTTTACGAATGAAAATAGAAATTTGAAAATATATATAATTATTATGTAATATTTTACAAAGATGATATCTGATATAATTAGTAACCTATGAATATTTTTAAATCACAGTATTTTCAATAAAATAAATATTATTTATAAATATTGACTAATTTACTAAAAAAAAAAAAAAAATCATGCAAAAAATAACATATTTCTCATCCTTAAAATATGTCTTAATCTCATAGAATATAAGTAATCCTAGATCAAATCCATGATCAATGTTGTTTATAACGTGCAATCATTTGATTGTACTGAAATGCCAGAATTAATGATTAAAATTACCAGAGGAAATAAATTCAAATATAATTTCCTTAAAGGTCTAACAAAACAAACAAAATGTAGCGCTCTAGTGCAATTGAAAACTACAAACTAATTATATATATTTAATACATTTATGTTAGATTAAGTGTAAGAATCATGGAAATCACATACATCAAGTTCTTTTTGTCTTTGATTTCAATAATAAATAATACAGTATTAATAGTGAAAATAGATCATCCATAAAATAAAAAAATTAATCAGACAACTACAATATAAAACTTAGTTGTAGAGCATTATTCAGAATTAATGAGAAATTCAATTGGAATTGAAATAGAAAAAGTAGTTAACAATTTTAATATTTGTTCAGCCATAACAATTGAGGTGGATTAAAATAGTACAAAACTATAGAACAAAAAAATACTACAAAAAAGAGCTAGTTTAATTTTCAAGGGAATGAAATTAAATTACTGATATGTTGTTATGTGACATATATATTTATAATCTTTCGTACCAACAAATAACTTTTTTTATTTAAATTATAATCAATAAATTCATTAAAATTAAATATTTAAATTATACACCAAAGGCCAGGTATCCTAACTATTTATACTTAAGCCTCCTAAACTTTTTGACATACATCACCCTTTAATAATTATATAAATGCATATTATTAATAGGTAAGTATATTTGAGGGAGGAACAATATTGCTGGATCACCTCTCTTCCCCTTTGAAGATTTTTCACTTGATTTTAATACGTTATTGAAAGTTGTTATAATTACATTGGTGTATTTAGATATCTAAAAATAAACATTTTAAAAATGAAATACCTATGCATAAACTAAATAGAAGAGGATATAAACAGGAGCATGGTCGAAAACTGTTTAATACAAGGAAGAGTTATGAACAATTTTTTTCAACTAAAATTATCGAAGTTTGTACATTTTTTAATGTTATTAAAGATAATGGTAATGGTTGAATCCCATATTCCCATGTATTTTAAATCTCCCCGCCCCCCATAAAACTAGAATATAACAGCCACGGTACCGATAGTGTTTATATACAACAAAAATAACTTATCACTTATTTGTAAATTAATTTAAAAAATATTTATATAATCAGATAAAATAAAATAATGAATGAATTGTCTTAAAATAAAAATATCTTATGTTCCTAATTTATGTATAAATAACTACATTTTTCCTACTAAATACTGACATCTCACTCAGGTATCTTAAGCTAAAAGAATATACACATACAACTAAACATAGATACTCAATAAAAAATTACAGGCAAAATGGAGTTATGTTGTGTTTCATTAGTTGTCTGACATTTACTTTTTTTTTTTTTGTACACAAGAGTTAAAACTGTTACCATGAACCAAAAAAAAATGAAGTACCCATAATTATTTGCATAAAGAAATTATAAAATTGTGCATTCTCTCTACCTAATAGACAATTAAGATAACATCTACGTCATCAGTTCCCTCATAGTCTAAAATGATTTTTCACCAAATTAAAAAAAGACCAAGGATGTCTAATTTTATTATTATCAATGATCTAATTTTGTATACTTCAATAATTTTATTTTAAAGACAGGTATTATATTTAATATTTAGTGAACAGAATTTTTTTTTTATATATAAATATACCATAACTATAAAGGATAGTAATTTAAATAAATATTATTTAATTATACTTATATATATATATATAAATATATTAAAATAATATACAATTGAATAATTCTTTTAATTAATATAAATGTTTTGGGTATTTAAAAAGATCAACCTGTATATTACAATTTAAAATATACCTCATTAAAAGTACCAAGGGTTGCGCAATTCTAATTTCTTAACAATTCAATTTCACTAATACCAATTAACAACAACGAAAATGTTGGGACAAAAGTTAAAAAAAAAAAAAAAATAAAATAAAATAAACATTGCAGCAATAATGAATCAATGAAACATCTGTATTAAATCCACACAAAATAACCAAATAATAAATAATGAAGAAAAAAAGAAAAAAATAATACAACATCAATATGCACCTACCTAACACATTACACATTATTAAATAAGATCAATTAAAATAAAAAAACATTTGAAAAATCATAGAAAAAAAAACAAACTAAAAAACAAAACCACCAGTAATATCAAATTACCTACTAAAACGAATGGTACAATTTAAATATTGTAGAATAATAAGACTAAATAGATATAATTTTTTTTTTTGGACCAATTTTAACGAATTCCAAGACCGAAAAACATTGAAGTGAACATATTTCTTACACTCTTATCTTTTTCAAATTCAAGTTGTACAAAAAAATTAAAAAAATTAAATATATATATTTAGATAATGGTCTTAGTGTCTAAAATTTTGTTTAAGCAAAATTCAAATTATGTGAATTCTAAAGTATACATACCAGTATGTTGTCGCACATGATTGACCAAATGTTCTTTGCGCGTGAATGTTTTGGCACAGTAATCACATCGATGTGGCGTCTCACCTGTATGCCACATAACATGATTTTTGAAATGATCTTTTCTGGAGAAATACTTTCCACATATGTCACAGTGAAATGGTGAATCAGTGATGTGAGTTCTACGTTCACCACTAGAGCCTGATATCTGAGTACTACCCGATGCACTACTTGGTACAGTGGCTACTGCTGCACCTCCCAATTGTAACATGAGACTAGAGCCTGTGATGTGTGTACGACGTTCATTATTCCCATTAGTCTGATTATTTCCAGAAGAGCCACCTTGACCTGAGTTAACAGCAGCAGCAGCACCTCCAAGTTGAAGCATTAGACTAGAGCATACTTTTGTAGGATCACCTAAAAACAGTTAATTTAGTTAAACACTGGATTCCTTTTATGGTTTTTTTTTTTTTTATTAATTTAAACATTTTAATGATAATATTACACTTTTTTAAGTAAACTTACTGAATGTACCCCAATTAACTCTGTGTTGCAATAATTCTAAATCAGATACAGAAGTTGGAGGAGTAAAATGAGCATGTGCAGGTTGTGGTGGACCATCCATATTCTGATGATGTTCTCCGCTTCTATCTCTATTTAGGCTCATATTTTCTGGTGGCATTGGGACCCTTAATTCACTAGCTTTCAGCACTTCAGTCATGTTAATCTGAGCAAAACAGATCATAAGTTGAAAAACCTTTAAGATAAAAACAGAAAACTCAAGACTATAAAAAAAAAAACTAAAATATTCTTACAAAATTTAACTTTATTTAGTATTAGAGAATTAATAAAGGCGAAATAAAACTGAGTTTGTAATGCACAAGAAGCTAATACAATAAAATGCCTATTGATATTATTATACTTTATTATAAATGTTGAAAATAACAAAAAAAATAACTTTATAATATGCTAATTTAAAATAGGTAATTATACATACACTTCAGTATAATTAATAAATACCATAATATAATAACCTAATCTATACTCTATTTAGGACAAGTTTGAACTGCTTTCACGCATACAGACGACGGAGTCGCCAAGCGAGTCCAAAACCCCTGATGTCAACACTATACTATCTGCAATTGATAGTCAATTATCAACCTGAGGTAACAATTAACTACTCGCATGTTCATAGCTGCCATCACTATACATAAAGGGTCCAAGGTGGTTGGTGGGAAAAGTTTAAGCGTGTGAACACAACATGTTTTCGTCATCCAAGAAATTCAACTTTATTCTAAAAAGATTATCTGTATAGCATGTACTACACACCAAAAAATAATAGGTAAGTATTTAAAAAATATACTAAAATGTACACAATTCAATTTATAGAATCTAATAACTATAAAGTCAAAACCATAAAACACAAATTGTAGAACCAAATCTTTAAGATATTAAATAACTTGGCTGTAGACACAGAGACAATATGCTATTCCTTTGTGTGAATTCAAAAAGTGAATAATCAGTAAAAAAAAAAAAATGATATGGATGGGTAGGGTATACCTAATGTTTATAAATATTAAAATTTACAAATAATTACACCCCTATAATACAAAAAGAACAAACTGTAAAAATGTATGAATGTTATTAAAGTAGAATGCCCTCATTGTGATATACAGAGTAATTCACTCAACTGGAAACACTCATTATCTCTGAAAGTATTAACTTTTTTCAAATTTTTTTTTTGAAAATTTAAAAGTCAAATAAATCTAAAATGCTATATTATTTTTTTATATCCCTTATTTTGAGGGTTAAAATGACTGTCTATTTTTGATTTTAAATGGTGATCATTTTTAAAATGACTTAAATAAATGGAGTACTGTTTAAAATAAATTTTGATGTTGAAATTCCATCAACCTGTTGACGAGAGAATAGTAGTGAAGTATCATTTGTGTAGTAGTACGACGCACGGCATATTAATAATGCACCACTACTCTCCTCCAACGCAAACTTTAAAGTGGAAAATCTCATCAACGGGTCAACGGAAATCGAAAATTTCAACACCATAATTTATTTTAAATAATACTCAATTTATTTAAGGCATTTTCAAAATAGATCACCATTTAAAATCAAAAATAGATAGTAATTTTAACTCCTAAAATAAGGGATATAAAAAAATAAAAAGTAACATTTTAGATTTATTTGATTTTTAAATTTAAAAAAAAAAAAAAAATTTGAAGATAACAAAGTCGAAAATTCAGAGATAATGAATGTTTCCATTTGAGTGAATCACCCTGTATACTATCCTTAATTATGTTCTAAAAAATGTCCAAGTATTCTGATTTTTTTTTTTAAGTATGTTAGAATTTAAAATATTATGATAGTTAACTCTGAATTTTAATTTGTATTAATACACATATCTTTAGACTAATTATACTTCGTGCTACAAGAGAACACACAGGACTCCCACATTCCCAAACAATAACATTCTGCCCACCGTCGAGTCGGTTAATCATGTTTTTGCAGTGGGTGTGCACAAAAATATACGTGATTTGGTTTGTCATCGTATATGTTCTCTTATAGCATGGTGTATTGTAATTACATTATATTTGTTGGAAAAATGAGAGGGTAAATTAAATTATATGCAAATTTGAATTGTTGAGAGCAAGCGAGAACCAAAAACCTATGCATACAGCTCAATTTAGTATAATAGATAATTATTAGATACAATTGAAATGTAAAATATTTCATAAAAGTCTACAAATTTTATGTCATTGAGTAATATACTATTTATGTACTTAATTTTATCAATTTGATTTCAGTACTGACAAAATCATTAAATGTATTCTGATGCCCGCGAAAATTACTCAAAACTTCTAAACTAAAATAAACATGTATGTAATATGTTTAGAACAAAGGATCAATACTAACATTAAAAAAAAATATGATCATTAAATCTAAAATTAGTTTCTCATACAAAACTTAGTACATAAAAAATAAATTAAATAATATTTATGAATACTAGATAGGTAGGTGTACTTAATCTACTGTCTACTGCAGAACTTGAGATTAATTAATCAATACTCCAATAATTTAACAAGTATGCATTTCATATTTTAAGACTAATAATATAAACACAGTTAATTAATTCTTTGACTCTATACACAGATAAAACAAGAAAAAATGAAAATAGTTAAGTAAATTACTTTTCATTCTCTAGGTAGGTACCTGTGTACAATTTGTCATAAAAGAATATCGAATACCTAATAACTATAGACTCAACACTCTTAAGTTGTGTCAAACAGGAATAATAATTACCTATATATAAGTGGTACGCCTAATACACCTCGAGGTCATTGAGTGAAAAGATAGTGTAAAGTTGATGTTGGTTAAACGACGAAATAGTTTCCGCCAACAAATTCTATGACCAGATCAACATGGCAGTTGACAATAATCGGAACGTCTCAACTGGGTGATCCAATGTAATAAAATCAGAAATCATAATCTTACAGAATTAAAATAATAAAAACCACACGTAGGTACGTGTGAGTAAGTACACAGTTACATACCAAATTTGAATACTCATCTACTTATAAGTACATTGGACATTTGACACACAGAATTAAATAGAAGATGCGACATAGCAGCAAAAGGGAAATAATAAAACGTTAATTGGTGCAAGTTGAATGAAACATACAAAAATCAATACACACGTTGGGCTTGGCCTACTACGTGCGCTAAAAAACAGGACACCCAAACGAAATTTCACCAAAAACATAAAATCGGTTTACGGCAGAAATTACAGACGTCGGGATGGATAAACGTACACAGATCATGAGTGATGTGTACACGGCGAAAGTGGTGACGACCGAAACAAGAGTATAGAATGTCTTAACGGTCCAGATTTCGGTTGGCCAAAATGGCGTACGAGACCGCGATATAGTCGGTTATTTTCTGCCGTACGAGCGTACGCGGCCGGCAGACGGCACGTTTCGAGAACGGCATGACCGGCCGTGGAACGGGTGAGCCGTCGGAAGATGGGCGCGCAGGGAAAGCAGCGACGACGCCGGAGAGTGAGCAGCAGGGGTGTGTAGACGGGAAAAATGTTACGCCGCCACACGGCAACGGCGGACGGTGGGTAGATGGGAAAAAAGCCCTTCACAACCCTGCCCATCGGTGTGCAGCGGGAAACCACTGTTTTTGCTTACCGTATGCCTTCAGAAACGCCGGTGACCGGTGCGGAGACGTCCAACGCGTTCTAATCGCCCGTTTTGCCGGCGAAGACACTGCTTTTGTACATTATTTGCGGACGTTTGAGACGGAGAAACGCGTTCGTCGGTGGAGGCGCGATCGATTGTGCGGCCATTTTGACGGGCGAGGGGGAATGACGTCACCGCAGGCACGGCGTCGGTTTGTTTCTCTGTCTCTCTCCCACCACCGCGGCAGCTCCCTTGTCTTTGTCCGTTCGCACACCGACGCTGCGTACGTACCTGGGAGGTTAGACAATCAACAGCGTCACACAGCGTCCTTGCATACGGCCCGAACGCCCTCTACCTGCTTCTACACGACGGTCGTTGCTGCCGCCATTCATGGGAGGGGCAGTTGTCGTCATAGTGTCTAACATCATACGAGTATTAATATTCAATTTTTCAATACGAAAAAACAAAAGACCCAAACAACGAACGCACTGCGTTATGCACTATGCGCACAGAAAAACTAATTTTACGCGGGTAAAATATACGCACAATGATGTGTGAATATAATATAGTACATTATTTTAAAACGTCATTCGACAAGTATATCATGTACTTTCGTTTTTTTTTTTTTTTTCGGAGTACCCATTACTAGTACTTCTACTTAACCGTACATACTGTAGGACGTACAATGTTTTTTTTGTTTTAAAATTAGTATAGGATAATTTTTCTCATTGGAATTATATATTACATTTTATTGAAATTCAATTCATGTTGGAGCCCAGCGGTTTTTCGTCGAATTAACTCCATTGATAAATTTTTTACCCGTATTATCAAACAACAAATTCTAGATTTCTAACCAATTCTGTACCTACTACAAAAAATAATTATTTTCTAAAATAGTTATACAGTCACAAAAATTAAATATGGCCTACAATGAACTGTTACACTGTAACTTAAAATTATACCCATTTTCAATGTTGGTGTTAGAATAATAGGTATAAAAGTGCGACGGCACGTACATTTTGTGCCTATTTAGGTACATAATATAAAATAAACGAATAATATTCATTATAATTTGCCTAGAATATCCTGGTAAATATCAAAAATTTAAATTTGGATTAAAACTTCATAACTAACAAGTATAGGTATTTATGGGTATCTCCTATGTAGGTACCTAGTAAGTATAATAATGAATATATAAAGTAAATATGTGGTGTTAAATACTATTTTCTGTAAAAAATAAAGATTACAATCAACTAATGATGTATCTTGAGTTGGTATGGTAATTGTTTTACAATTTTAATGAATCTAATTCTTAGTTTCACGGAATTAATAGGTTGCTAATTACGTTATTAAGAACACAAATAAAACAACGATCAATATAATATACAGGTACATACCTAGTTTTAAATACTCTATCAATCCCAAAAGGTCAATACAATATATATTTATAGTAACTATTGTCGATTTGCCAATCAGATATTTACAGGATACACGCGAATAATATAGTTGACAAATCGTTAGGCAGATATCCGCACAATATAATATACGAAATAACTATTGTTATTAAACGACCTATTTTTTATAGAGGATATTTTACTCTGTCTATAAATATAAAGATTTAACATAAAATCATAGTTCACGGACAAGTAGTATATATTACTTACGCTAAACGATATATGGTCCCAAAATGACCATCACCTATAATGGCTTCATCATACATGCGTAATATGTCTACAGTAGTACAGTAGAAATAACAACTAAAATAATTTAAGTATATGTATATTTATTTAGGTAAAAGGTAAAAAAATCCGGAGGAAAATTTGTTTAAACAATTATTAATCTTGGTTTTGCTAATACAACCCAGCATAAGTTGAAAATAGTTTAAAATTGAAATGTTCCCAGAAGGCATCAAAGAAAATATGTGTTTAAAAAAAATACAGACATTTCGCACGTGGGTGGGCCACTGTTATAGGAGAAAAGTTTAGAAGGTAGAGGGGAAATTTAATGTATATCTGTAAGCAACGATTAACCATTGCTAACGAAAAACGATTCTAAGTGAAGTTCGGTTGATAGTATTGCTTTGTCGACAATAGGTATACCAGATTTTTGTAAAATAAATACATATACATAATATATTTTTCTTTAATAATATTTGTTTATTTATTTTCCCGTTTTTTGCCTTTAATTAGGAAAACTTCTGGGAAAATCAAAAAATGACGTCCTTTAAGTGCAACGTAAATAAGATTTCCTTTCAGAAAATGTGCTTGATACATCGGAGCAAAATTTCCGGTAGAAAAATTTGCACAACAAATCGAGAGGTATTTTATTAATTTAAATAAACCGAGTGAGCGATGGCTTTGGTCTCTAGGTACACCCAAAATGTATGGAAAAAATAAATACCAACAAAAGATTATTTTTTTTTTTTGAAACACAGGTTTGAGAACTGATAATTTCTAGGATGACAATAGGTACATACTACCTATAGAGTACGACAAAAATACAATAAAATTGACAATAGACAATATTAAGTTATTAAACATAACATATTATAATAACTGCATATTATCAAAATTTCAAAAAGCTATAATTTCGAAACTAGGTCAGTTCGTATAATTCTGACTTTACCATCGTTCTTAAATCAGTATTATACATGATAATGTAAAAAACAAAAATTTTTAAAATTAGATTTTTTTCCACTTACTCTTTTCCTCTTGTTAAAATTTGATAATAAAATTCTCCTATAAAAAAAAAAATACTACATTAAACTCAAATTTGTTTTTGACCACAATGTACGACCTTTGATGAATTTTCCATTAAATTTTCAAGCATTAAGTATAACAATTTTACTACAACATAGGCGTTCTCTTGGGAGGGGGATATGAGGGATAAATACCCCCCATAGACTTTTTTTTTTTCGGTAATATGGAGTTTCTTGTTTAACCGATATTTATTGATAATAATCAAATAAATAAATATAATCAATACAAATTGTTTTGAAACGTTATTATTTTCCATAATATTCGTATACAGATTAGAGACCACGCACGATTACAGAGTGTATTTTTGTTTTATGTCTGTGGTTACAGATTAATATCTTTATCGCGATTCTAGTATTATAATCAGCTGAGTAAATATATTATAATTGATATAAACAATATATTAATCTCATGATACTACCACCGAACAATGATGAAAGTGTCAACCAAAATGCTCCTCCAAAATTTTCTTTTCTTACTTCTTTTTAAGGCTTCTATGTAGATATATATGATAGATTGCATCCTTGTCTTACCTCCTTAGCAATTTTAGTCTCCACCTGGTTGTTACCTTTTTCAACTTTTATAACTGCAATTTCAATGATGTACAGATTATGAATAATTTTTCTATCATTATAATCTATTCCAATGTCTTCCATAACCCTAAAAAGTTTTATCCCTTAAACATTATCGAAGGCCTTCTCCAGATCTAAGAAGGCAATAAACAGTGGTTTATTGATTCTAAACATTTTCTCTATGATTATTCTTAAGCATATTATCGCCTCTCTAGTGCCTCTATTTTTCCTGAAACCAAATTAGTCTCCAGCTAAATTTGTATTTATCTTTGACTATTCTTTTGTGCATTATTTTTGTGAGAATCTTAGAAGCATATATTATTAGGCACTAGTACACAGTATAAAAAATAAAATAAATAAACATCATAGTAAAACTAATACATTCCTCGCTCCACTCAGAATCTAAAACATTAAACTTAAAAATACAGCTACCATAAATAAGCTTCTGATACTGATACTAACTAATACTTACCTATATTATCATTTTTTTTTTTTTTTTTTCAAAACAGTACCATATTTTACATACCTACTCTATGTAATTATTAATGATTTACTTACATTAATGAAACCGTAACGGGCAATTAATCTGTAGGAACTTTATTTTAAAGTAGTGACCTATACCTATTAGGTAACAACCTATGAAAAATGTAAACTATAATATTCATCATTTTATTAATGAATCTATTCCCCTTCAAAAGATTTTTAGATAAAACCTACTGTCTAAAGATTACCAACTGTTCTACCTACTTATATTGTTTGTAAATAAATTTCTATACTTCCTAATAACCACATGATTGTAAATTATAGGTACCTATCTAATAGGTAAAAAAGACAATTATTATGATATTAATTTTTTGAAAGTTTAATATAAAAACTTAGGAAAAAAATTAAATTGAAAAAGAACCAACTGACGTAATTTACTATAAGTCTATAACCATTAATTATAAAACTACCTACTAATTGTATACATAATTAATGTTATAATATAATTCTTAATACACTGCATGAGATGAATACTTCATAGCTCATCTCATGCACTTCACCATAAAGTGTATTTCTAACTTAGATTTAGATAAGTTTAATTGTATATCATTTCCTTTATACTATATTATTACTATAACATACCTATATAATATAGGTATTCGTATTATATTATAACACAAATAATGTTAAAGGTAAATACATTTGGTTTTTTATAAAATCATAAAATAGGTAATTTATTATTATATATCTATCCACATAATATTTAATATTTTCTAGATTACTGTTGTCTTTTTTTTTTCCTCATCTTTCTCTCCTAGATTTCAATTATTAATAGATTTATAATAATTGAGTTTAAAATAAGAACAATAATATAATAATATAGAAAATCTAAAATAAAAATAACCTTTAAATCTTTATTTATAGGTACTTAGAACATAGATAAGTACCTTATTTTTATTAAATTTGCTTCATCAAATTCCAACAGCATACTACAGTTTTCAATAAGTTTAACGATTAAAAAGCATGCAATTGTGGTTTAAATATTTCGATTCGTAAGGTGGCTATAAAACCAAGTAAGGTAAGTGTTTAATTTATTAAAAAACTACTGGTTAACAAAAAAATATTACAAGAATCATAAAACAAAACTAAGTGTACAATAAATAATTCATCATATACTTTAACTAAGAAATCGTTTTAAAAATAATTTTTTTTTACCGATGACGCAGACACTATACATACACAACATTTAGATTAACGCTGAACAAGGTATATTGATACTTTAATGTACCTAATACAATAATACCTATATCATCCGTGCAGTTGAATTATTTGTTAGTCTTATTAAAAAAATCCAATACAAATGATTTCTATATAATATACATAGGTAGGTACGTAATTTAAAGATTAAAATATTTGTATAAACTGTTAGACAATATGTTTATAGGTACTATATTATATATTATATAGGTAATATATTATACGGGTAGCTCCAATCATCTTATCACAACCGGACGTTTAGGATATTAGTTAAACATATTTAGGTTATAGGTAGGTAGCCAAATAAATTGTAGTGCACCTATTACTCAGACCTGTATATACCTACATTATATTTATTAACTAACTATTATTGTGGATACTTCAGTTATTTCAGTAGTTTTATGAAAATAATTTTATAATAATGTAGCTAATAAACTGCAATTAACATATACAGATTAATGAACATAACATGAGAAACTTATTATCTTGATAAGTATTAATTTTTTGAGAAATTTGTTTTTTAGATCATAAGTAACTCTAATGTGTTCTATTACTGTGTTTTTGTCACCCTTATTTTAGAGTGTGAAACCACTATCTACTTTTGATTTTTAAGTGGCAACTATTATTAAAAACTCTATAAATAGATGGAGTATTAGTTTAAATAGATTTTGGTATTGACATTTCTGATTTCTGCCAACTTGTTAACGAAATATTTTACTTTTAAATTTCATCAGGGGGTGGGAGTGAAGTAGTGGTGTAGCATTTGTGTGGCGGCACGGTCAACGGCATTTTAATATAGTTTTACCACTCTACCCTACCTAAACTTAAAAGTGTATTATAAAATGTATATTGTCAACGGGATGACAGAAAACAAAAATTTCAATCAATATTATAAAGGTGACAAAAAATAATCAGGATATAACATTTTAGAGCTGCATTATTCTTAAATGATTAATTATAGTTAATACTTTCCGAGATAATGAGTATCTTGCATTATATTACTCACTCTGTATACCTTCTATCACTATACTATAATACTTGACAAAATGTAAGTAAAATTAAGCAATACATATTATTAAACTAGTTATCTACATATCAAAAATAATTTATAACTTTCAATACAAAATATAAATATATTCCTATACTATATTTGTTGGCAATGTTGGGATTTTGATTTTTTGTTTAATATAGGTATTATAGGTACCTATTAGGTACCTACAGTAGGTGTTTCACTGTGTTTGTATAACCTAAATACAGCTATAAATTGCTAAACAGAAAAAAAATATACATTTACTTGTTTGTATATTTTGTTTATTTAATTTTAATTTTATATTGGTTTTCAAAATCTGTGAAATTAATTTATAATAATTATAAATATATTATTGTATGATAGGCACTCGTGATGTTAGTACTATTATAGGTATACTACTATATAATATCTTATAATTATAGTGGCTTGCGAAAGGAAGTTAATCCAAAGGTAACATTATTCGCCATTTCTTACAAATAGACAATTTGGCAATATGGACATTTCAATCAGTATTTTCAGGTTTATTCAGTTCTTGAGGACGTTATTCAAATGGTAAATATCATAAAGGCAATTAAGTTATTAAATTCATGAATATTCCATGTGCGATATGTGTGAAGAAATGGAATTTTCGTTAGTAAAAAAAATACATCCGATCTATCCGTTTTCGAGTTATGGCGTCACCCACAAAATATCGATTGATTAATTTTTATTATAGTATTATATGTCAACTCTTAAATAATACTAATAATAACAATAATAATAATAATAGTTTTCATGTCCGTGACATCCAAATTAGCATCTATGTCATCAAGATAACCTATAAATCAACAAATAAAATTTAATCAACTATTCGCTTTCCAAAAATACCAAAAACCCTCTCGTCCCGCTAGCTGTCCCGTTCGGCATTTTCCCGGCTAATCTTTTTTTTTATTTCATCCGTAACACACTATCGGCCATAGATAATCAAAAATGAATACATAAACAATTAAAAATTCATAAAAAAAACCTAAAATCCCCTATTTTACCCTATTAGGAGTTGAATTTTCAAAAATCTTTTCTTGGCGGATGCTTACGTCATAATAGTTATCTGTATGTGCCAAATTTCTGCTCGAGCCGTCCAGTAGTTTGAGCTGTGCGTTGATAGATTAGACAGTTTATCATGTTATAATATATTATATATGTTTATAGATATAAATCTGAGTAATTACAATTCAATTATTTTTCCTTGTTTAAAGTTGAATGTCAAACTTCTTTGATTCAACACATCTCTACGCGGTATTTTTTTTTTTTTATATAGCATTCTGTTATATCTTTAATAATCATTTAAATATTACTAAGATTCAAACAACAACATATACCTTATTGTTATGCGGTGTACTTAATTAACATATATATTTCATAAATCAATAGAATATTTATGAAACTAGATTACGATCATTTTTTTTAATTCTTTGACTATTTCATCGACGTCGATATTTTTAGCCATAAAACTATATGAAAGCATCAAATTACCCATGGTACCTACCAATTAACTATCATAATATTTGAGTCTATTATATTTCGATATCTATGTTATAAACGCGATCATCGGCATATTAATATATTATTAATAGTATTTATAATTATGCAGTTTTTAGCTATGCTAAAATAAAACTTTTATTTTAATACACATGTCTAATTGCTTAAATATTTTTAATAATTTCATATTTTTAAGTGTTTAGACACTTAAAAATGTAAGGATACCATTGCCAACCATACTGATTTTCCACATTTGCTGGGAAAACTCTAGGGAAAATCGAAAAATTACTTTTTTAAAGTACCTTTCCAGTCAGATTTCCTTTCAAAAAAAGTGCTATCATTGTAAATCGGAGAGAAATTGTTTGTAGAAAATTTGTTCATAGGAAAAAAAATACCGTAATATTTTTAACTAATACCTACATTTCGTACATTTTCCAGTTTTAACCTATTTATTGAAAAAACTTCTGAGGAAATCGAAAGATGACCTCCCTAAAGTACCTCCCTAGTCCGATTTTCTTCAGAAAAAGTGCTACATTAAAAAATCGGAGCAAGTTTTCTAGTAGAATTTTTGCATGTAGTATGAAAAAATGATCATCTTTGTAAAACAAATACATTTTTTGCTACAGTAAGAATCTAAAATAGTTATGTATATAATATATTTATATATTAACATTGTAATTTGTATCTTACTAATAATTACATTTTTTTAATTTGTGTAAATAACTATCAACAAAACAAAATACAGTTCATCCGCCCCTCTATAGGCCCCTGTAGGAAAAAGCTGAGCATACCCCTGCATTAAAGTACCGTATATTCGGACATAAAATAAAATCCATATCGTGTCATCGTAGGGAATATTTTATCGTTCACATCATCAGTGACTGGAGGGGACAGGGGTGAGGCGAGAGAGGACGACTATTGATTTTCTATTGAAAAAAGGGCGTGACGGTTGGTCCGACCGTATAATAATGTGACATCGTGCGGCGCTGCTGCTGTAATAGTGTACAAATCGTGAAACAAAAAAAACGCTAAAAACATATTATTTTTGATAGAAGCCATAGAACATTTAAGGGGTTGTGTATAGGCAATTTTCACGAATTTTCGAAGAAAGAAAAAAAACAATAATTTATCGATTTAAAAACGTTCAAATGAACGCAGATGTTCACACAGATCCACCACTGCTGTGGAGATCCACCACTGCTGTGGTTGATAAAGTTGAAAAATTGATATCTATACACAGAATATAGATACTATAGTATAAACTACTACTATAGTTGTACATACCTATTATAATCTACATTAGGCTAGATATCTGTTGTAAGTACCTACAAATAAGTATAGTCCGTTGTCATTATCACAAGTGTAGTATTATTGTAGGTTTTGTGTAGATGCCTAGATAATTAGTTGAAATCTCACCTGTACAAAATATTCAACCTGTACGATTGAAAAACGCCTCGAATAAATTGTTTTCTTTATTTTTTACAATAGGTATACCTATTTTATCTCTTCTGTTGGTACTTTTGCAAGTTTTATTAAGATTTATGACCACCATTTATAGACGGATTTTATTTATTAAACACGGGTACATTTTTAGGTATGTACCTACATAGGTATTATCATTTTTGTTGTCGCGTGCGTTCGAGAGTATTTTGGTTCGTCTCGACGGCACGAGCGCGATAGCTGGTATAATAAATCATAATTCAAATTATATTTTTTTTTTTTTGGAGTACCTACCTATACCTATCTAAATGATATAATGTGTAGCGCATAAGTATGAACAGTGTGAGAAATATTCTACTTAAAGCGCATGCGCGTCTAGTGTACGCAATAATTAAATATTTTTCGGCGGACAAAGGCATCGTAAAGTGTTGGTTACTGGTTACTGCAGGTTAGTCGTTATCCGGAATACAGGGGGGTCCAGGAGCACAACCAAGCCACTAGAAATTAAGTATACCTATAATATAATAATACCAATGCCATATTACATTATATTATGACGAAATTATTTTGAAACATGTAATTATGTACAATTTGTATTAAAAAACGTTTCTTTCGTGGTATTATTATTATTGAAGGGTTTGTTGCTTCATTATTATTTGTATTAATTATATATAGATATATAAGTTTTAAGGAGACAATTTTTTTCTATGAAATTAGAAATAATCTCAAGATTTTATCCTTATGTTTACTACGCATTACGTTATTCTATGGGGGGCTAGAAATATATAATTAGGGACTTGTTTTCCCTCTAGTTACATCGACGAGATGGGTGCATTTTTGTGTGCCTTCGTATCTTATTTTTACTTCCTATTTTATAATTCAATCGCCGTGTATATTTTAATCATGTTGTTACTACGTGTATTCAAGGTCGTTGCTAGTCTATGATCAAGTTTTAAAATTGCATTATACCAGCTACCAGATACTATACTGCTGTACAAGGTGAAGAGAGAAAAATTTTAGATATAGGTACCTATTACATTACCATTGACAATATTTATTAATACTTGAAAGATGCAATTCTGTAGTTCATCTTTACATTTTAGCAACAGTTTCCTGGTGTTGGTGTATTCATATAGGTACCTATAATAATATAAATTATAATAGTCAATTGTAATATTTAGTAAAATATAAGTAATGGGAATACCTTTCTTCGACCTTAAAATGTTTTTACAAGGATCAGGACCACTCTGTATAATAATTTGTATGGTGGTTCGTATTCACTTATATTTATACTGCCATATAGGTAGGCTAGGTACTGTTTTCACGCTGCCAGACTGACATAACAAAAAAAAAAAAAATATTTTTCTTTTTCAATGAATAGGTAGGTACCGGTTTGTTGGTTTATTATATTATTTTACACTCTCATCACCATTGTTCCCTCGTCCGTTCGTTCGTATAAATTCTTCGATTACTAAACAGAATTTACTATTTAGTAAGCATTATTACTAGTACAACTTGTACCATTGATTTTTAGATTATGTGGCCGACCGTCGAAAGATCGGCCTACGAACATTCAAAAATCTAAAAGTCGAATTTTTTGTTGTGGCTCTATTCACATTATCTTTTTATAATCAAAATTTTTACATGAGGTTCAGTGGAGTAAAATGGGTGGTGCAAATGTAGCAGTTTAAATTTTTGTACCACCAGAAAATCAAAAATCTATATACCTATAATTTATATTTTCAAAAGTCCAAAGTTTTCCTTTAAATGTTGTAATAATAAAGTAATTCAATAATTATAATATATTAATTTCATAAAAAAAAATTTGGTACATACAGAAAAATAAATTGTTTATTAGGCGGTAATTTAAAAAGGAAGTTGGAGTATTGGTGGGTTGAAAATTGAAAGATTTCTTTGCATCACTAGAAATTTAGGTCAATTTATGTCAATGATGGGGTTCATCATAAGTTGCAATTAGTGATAGAAAAATAGTTCAGCGTAATGTAGATGTTTTGTTTGTATATCTAGGCGTTTAAAGTTAAAATTTTAACAAAATTCATAAAAATCACATTTTTAAACATGTATAACCGAAGTTCGATCAGAATCGTGTTTCTTTAGCAATAGCTGATAATTACGAACAGTTGTAAATTAAATAATTATGTATTCTATCTACATTTTCATTTGCAACAGAGGTACACTCATCAGCAGTATCAGTTCTATTTTAAAAATAATGATCTAACAAATTCATATCCGTGTGAATTAAATTGTTTTAGTTTTCTAGAAAGGTCCGACAATTTGATACAATAAGGTTCCTTCGTCATAAATTGAGTTCAATGCTATAATTTATTTGTATAGACGTTTAAAATTAAAATGCATGAATAAATTCGTTAAAACACGTCATGTTGTAAATATTGTGAATGTTTTCGATAACAACTTGTAAAACCTAATTTTGCTCAGAATGATTATTCTTTGTTTGCATTGATTTATTATTGTATAAGTACTACAAACAAAAATAATAAATAATACTAAGCCCCTATTCATCTTTCTAACCACCTTCCATCATGATGATGTCTAACCTATTAACAGTACGTACATATCCTAGGTAGGTATCTTTTTCAAAATGCTTACCTATCAATTTAACAACACATACTTATTTTAATTTTTGTCACATTAACTTAATTAAATTACACGTTAAAAGTGACCAAATTTTTAATATACTTACTTTCAATATAATACGAGATGAAAAAGCACTTTCTTAATAAGTAATTATATTTAAAATTACCATCATAGTTTAATTTTCATAGCCTTCAACCCAAAAAGCCCTTAAAGATTATGGTGTTATAAGGCCCAGCGATATACCTATCTCTCTAAATACTGTTTCTAGACCACCACAACTATAGGCTTATAGTACATACTGAGAAATCTCTTACAAATGAATCATAAATCTTCAAAATCCAAATTAAAGTTTTAAAAGGAATTTTGTAAATCCCAAATCATTATCTTATAAAAAATTATCTAATATTTAACTCCGATCTCTGGAATTTAGTAAAATTAGCGAAACCTACAATACAAAGTAGCATTAAAAATAATACCAATTATAATATATAAATACAAGTATAAGTTAAATAATTAAACTAACAATATGATTTAATTAGAATTAATTATTACTTAATAAATAATGAATTACATTTTATGAACTTTATGATCACATTATTTAAGTACCTACCTAGGTATATAATATTAGTCAAAAAACTGTGTTACAAATTAAAATTGAAGTTTTAAATCTTCAAAAAATTAATTTTAAAATTCAATAATTTGAATTACTACCCAAATCTATACTTAATAATAAATTGTTGCCAACAAAAAATTTTGGTTTTGGTATGTTTACAATTTTCGTTAAGATTTGATCTTAAAACGTAATGATTAAAAAAAACTATTACATTATTCTCAGATTTTTTCTTTTTATCACCAAGTACAACTTAAAGTGAACCTCAAGCTAAATTTACGAATATATTTACTGTGCCAAAAGAAATGGCTACAAACTAAAAAATATCTAATATTTTAAATGTTCATTAAATTTGTCAAAAATAGTTTTAAAAATATTTTCATGTCTATAAAGATAAATAATTTAAGTATTCTATGAAAATTTTAGGTTTTTATGATTATTTCTAATAACACAACCGAAAATAACAGATATCGTTGTTGTGTAATTTAAAGTAATTAATAAGAAAACAATAAAAAAAAAATTAAAATATAATCTTCTGGTTTGAATTAGATAAAATTTGCTATTAAAAACTACCATGAATTTTATGACCAGAGTAATTATTCTAGTGAAAAAGTAGCTAACAAATGGAAAATAAAAATACACTCGTCATAGTAAAATCATTATATTTCGTGCTACGCTCAGAATTAAAAAAAAATAGAATACATTTAGTTACTCTTAAAACTTTTTAAAAAATATTAACAATACTTTTTCCATATAAAAAAAGATATCATCAATACAATATTTAACTTTTCTTAAAAGTTATAAAAAATAACCATAAACCTATTAATTAGATTATAACTTGGTATTGATGATCAAGATGAATTTGTTCGTTATAGTACCTACCATTATTGTCAGAAAAACTTTTACTCTTATAAAGTTGATACTTAATAATATTGTGTAAAATTATATTAAAGTTAACAAAGTTCATAGAATAATTTGTAGGTATTAAAAATAAATGTATACATTAAAAAACAGTTAAAAACATAATATATGATAAAAATGATAAAATATAACATAAATAAATAAATAACATAATGCATAATTAAATAACAAAAAAACATCAATATTATAAATTTTAATATACAAATCATGATAGGTAGTTGTCATGTTTTATTTTTATAAAATTTAAATATATGAATAGATATTGATTATAGACATTGTCGGTAAGTTTATTTTAATTATAATAGATTATATTGACATTTTTCATGTAACAAAAATATCACAAAATCACATTTTTTAGTTTATCTTATATTTTTAGCCAGTGGTCAGATGTTACTTATTTGTAAAACATTATCTCTGCTGCTTTAAAAAAATATTTTATTTTAATGCATACAAAAACCTAAAATAAGTTTATGTAGAATAAAAGAAAATCTTGTTAATTAAATTTGTACAAAATTAATATTTATAAAAGAAAAACATTTATTAATAAAATACACAAATAATTTAATTAGTTTTTTTGTTTATTTCATTTGTTGAACAAAAATACTTATTTTTAAAATTATTTACAAATTTCCACCAAAATAATGCATAAAGTAAGTTTCAACACACAAATTATGAATAATTTTGGGACTAGATAAAATATTATAAAAATAACTATACAAATTGTGATAATAAACTGAAATAATAATAATAATAATAATAAAATAAATTTGAACTAAATAAAGTTATGAAAACGATAGCAAATAAAGTAAAAATTTGGTGACAGAGGTATGTATATATATATATAAAAAAAAAAAATAAAAATAACGTGCAAATCAATAAAAATTATTGATTATTGTTCAATCACACTAATTTCATTTTGATCTGAATGATACAAAAAAGTAGTTAATTTGGTATCATTATTTCACTTCAGTATTAATTTAATTAGTTTAATTGATCTAATTTTATTTTTTAGATGTCCAGTATTTAAAGTGCCCACACACACATGAATACAGTAGTGTACACTGAAACGAAAAGTAAATACAAATAAGTAACCAAGATTAAAAAAGGAAGTTATTTTTAATAATTTATTAAATTATATTTCTTAATAGTTAAGTATTGCTGCAAGTAGTATAATAATAATAATGAATAAATATATGAAATGTTATAAAAATAAAAATTCATTTTCTGATAATTCAACTATTATTTGCTGTGTTTAATAACTATTCCATATATTTTATTTCAATTTAGTTATACACGCAATATACTTATACAGTATTATATTTTACGTTTGATTAGCATAAAAATTCCAATACGGCTATATGCAAATACCCACTGTCAACTTTTATTTTAAAATGTAATAAATAGATAAAGTTTTATTCTTGAACAATAATAATAAATGTATTTGTGATTAAAGTATTAAAAAAAAATATGAGATTCATACCAGGTAAAAGGGAAATAATCTATTTTAAGTATGCCTAGTTTTTAATTTTAATTTAAAATAATATTTTATATTATTATCATACAATATACTATATTATTAAATTTTAATAATAAATAAAAATTATAAATTACCAGATACTGTTTTAAACAGCAGAGTAAATGGCGCTAGCTTCGGCCATGAACACTACTTTTTTGTGCTTTCTTTTTACGGGCTGCTAACATGTCATAGAAAGGATTATGACTAATACTTTGTCTGAAAACAGTAATAATGAATTAATCAAAATAAGAACATGCATTTATACAGTGATCCAACTACATATTACAAGGGGCTCCTAGAATTTTTTTTTTAAGAATGGATCAGGTACTTGCTAAATACATTAGTTCTTAAATAATTTTGCTAAGTGGCACATTAATGCAACTATAAAAAATGGCCCCAGACTTACTGAGTATACACATTATATAAATTGTATAAAAAAAAAATAAAACTAATTTATAGAATGAAATAATATGTATATAATAGCCTATGATTGTACTTAAATTTTCAAGTCTTCAGAATGAAAATATGAATTTAATAATAATTTAAACTAAGTAAAAGTAAAAAGTATAGTTTAACTTTCAATAAAATAATAAAACCTATTTTATTAAAAAATAAGTTACTGAGAATAAATACATTTATTGAAACTTACTTAAGACATTTTGTCCATTCATCTTTTTCCTCAGCTGTTGCAGCAGACATTCTATATACAGTATGCTTACCTGCAAAATATTTAACCAATTAAATATTATGCAATATAAATTTATATTTAACATCTTAATTTTAATATTATTTAAATACAATTACATATATACATATCATCATATTAACCCAAAAGTTGTAAAATATACAAATTGATGAAATAATTATAACACTAATTAAAATAAGCAATATTAGTGATCAATCTTAAATTGTATAACAGAGTATACAATATACACTTAACAATATTTTATTTTGATACTCATTAATTACTTGTATAATTATCATGAAAACTACCAAAGTAAATTTGTTGTTTAAATGTTTTTATTTAATTTTGTAGTTACCTAATTCGATAAAAAAAAAAAAAAAAAATTCAGTTACAATGGTTTTTAAGGTAATATCAAATATTTATCATTTTATTTGATGGTGTAATACAATTATAATAATTAATACATAACAACTATTAATAATGAACTAAATATTAGCAAATATACAATAAGAAATATTCAGAAACAAATTTAAATTTGTAAATTAACTATAAATGTCAACATAAACAAATTAACACTTATATAAATTATACTTAAGTATACATGTATTAATTATGACTAAAAACCAGAAATTATATAAGGTTATTTAGGCTGAAAATCCTAATGCAAATATAGCCAAAATTCAATGTAATTTTTTTGAATTGTAAAAAAAAAAAATAATCAACTAATTAGATATTAGAATTATGCTTAAATGTACCATTAAAATGTGGGAGATTTCTTAATTATACCCAAATTTCTATTTTAATAAGAGTTATTTATTATTAATAAATGATTTATATTTTGTCTCACCTTCAACTACTTTTCCTTCACTATCAGTTTTACATGCTTTAATGAAATCTGTTGTTCCAGGAGCTGCATACAGCTCAAAACAATGAGGTTTTTGACGATCAGATACTTCTCGTACTTCAATATTTTCTAATGGAATTATTCCACGAGGTTCTTTGTCAGTTGTATATTCGAAATAGTACAGACAGTTATCATTTAATATGAACCATCGACGCTTCCAACTCTTATAACGACCACCTTAAAGTTTAATTATTAATACAAAATGAGTTAATATTATTTTAATAAAAGTGAAACATTTCAATACCTTGTTTCCATAACCATCCTTCTTTATCAGGGTTGAAAAATGTATGCATTAAATCATTACCATCATCTTCAGGAATTTTAAAAGGTTCTGTTTTAATACTCTCATACAAACTCTACATGGACGAAACATTAAGTAATCAAAATAAAAAAGTGTAAAGTAATAAACTTTAATTATTTTTTAACTTACAATTAAAAGTTCACGGGGTAAATCTCCACCATTATTGATACCACGATTCATTTGTATAAATTGTTCAACAGATGGTTTATCTTTTACACTGGGATTATGAAGACTAGTATTTAGCATTATAATAGCAAACGATAAAACATAACAGGTATCTAAAACAAAAATAATTTTACACAAGAATACAAAAAAGAAAACTTAAAAATTAATTTACCTGTATTGGTAAAAATATTAGGATTTAATTGACAATATCTTTCAGCAAAGCACTCCATCATTCTATCAATTTTTTGAGCTTCTCCAGGAAGTCTAAAACTCCATAGAAATTGCCTAAAAAATATTTATAATAAATAGGTGTTAACATTTTTTATTAAACTGTTTATAAATAAATCAATACAACTTAATACCTTAAAGCCTGGACCAATATGAGATCGGTGAAATCATGCAGAGAAACAAATTCCCTTAAAACTCTCTCATTAAAATCATTTCGCTCTCCTAAATAATCACCAATTGCAGTTTTATTTAATCCTTCTCCTTTATAAAGAAATGCAGCAACATCAGCTTCATTGTGATTTAGTAAACCATGTTCAACAAGAAATTCAATTCCTTTCTTTGGATCCATATTAAATTTTTTACGACCAATTGATATTTGTTTGGCTTTTGTTTGGTTTTTACTAAAACAAATAAAATAAAAATAAAAGAAAGGCCATAATAATAATAGGTAACTAATTAACAATTTATTATATTAATGTAATACCTATCGTCATTGGAATCCATGTTTTCCATTTCACTAACAACTTCGGATAATTCATCTTTCAATTGCTAAAAATATAAAAATGTATATAATAATATTAATAATTTAACAATGCATAAGAAAATTGTATACAATTTATATTGAACATGGTTTGAAATACTTAATATTATGAACTTAAATAAAAAATTAATCAAATAATCAAAATTAATATGATAAACTATTTAAAAATTGAAGTTTGAACAAATGAAATATTTGTATTGTTCATTAAAAACTATTTTCATGTACTTAGCTTAACTTTTAATACTAATTGAATTTCACATGGTACATATCATATAGATAGCAATAATAATTTTATGATATAGGTACACTAATCTATATTTTCAATAGCAAAAAAAAATTGTTTTGCAAGTTTATCTAACGATTTTAAGTACTTTTAGAGCAAATTGGATTAACTCATTTACACACACCTGATAAAATATGTTTTAAGTGTGTGTATTAGTTTATTATAACTAGGTATTTATTGTTTAATATTCTAGATGACTTATACCTAAAATATATATTATACTATTTTTATTATTAATAATCACTAAATCAAAATATTTTATGTAATAAGTACTTATCTTTATCTTTAATTATATGTGTATTAGGTAAATGTATAGTTTTCAAATAATACAAGTGTAATATTTATTATTAATTGTGTCATTAAATGTTACATTAAAAATATTCTGATTATGTCTTAATTTTTCTCAATCAGGTTATTGATTTAAAAAAAAATAATTACGGTCAAAGGATGAATGAAAAAATTAATTATAGGGCTACAATATTGTGAACAGTAAATTCAATAAATTTTAGAATTAATAAATTGAATGGGTAGGTATTATTTTAATCATGGAAGGAGCAATAATTAATATTCAAAATTAATATATTAGTTCTGGCTGAAGAAAAAAAATAACTTGGCCAATAATTGAACAAGCAATTTTATAAAACATCTGTAATGAGAAAATTATTTTCAAGTAAATATTACTAATATAATAAAATCAAATTTAAATCATAATACAATTAACTCTCGATTGTCCAGGGACGGATTAACTGTGGTTAAAAATAGGTATAGAATATACCAGTGATTACTGCCAACTAATTAATGTATACTTATCTGCTTTATAAATTGTCATCGGTTTTATTTAAATATGTACATTTGTATTTAATTAATATTGTTATACCTACAATTAAATTTAATTCAATAAAACTATAAATACTCATTATTATTAAGAAATGAGCATAATTAGTGATAATTACTCGTGAATCATCTTAAAAAAAACTCCATATAATTGAGAACTGGCTGTAAAAGTTGATCAAATTAAACTACCTACTTAATATATTATAGAATATTGTGTGTTAGGTATTTAGATAAACTAGTTGTTATTGTTTAAAATAAATCATATTAAGGTCAAATTAATTGATCAAAACTCAAAGGAAAAATATAACATACTAACCTGTATTTCAAGTAATAATTCCGCTTTACGACGTCTAATTTCAATCAATAACTTCTGTTGCTCTGTTGACAGTTCTAAAAATCAAAATTATAAATATAATATTATGAAAATGTATACTATTTATATTATATTTATATTTAATACAAGTTCAAACTTTGAAATAAATAAAGTTTGCATATAAAAAACAGGTTTAAATATTTCAGTACGGAAAATTTATGAAACCATTAACTATTAGTATCTTTATTTGATACAATTATTACTAGTTTTGTAATTTTATAGTAATAAATCTGTAACTTGATGCAAGGAGTGTCAATGTCAGAAAATAAATAAATTGAAAATAGGAAGTTGAATAAAATACATTTATTTCCAAAAATTCTAATGCAGTCTATAATTATTGAAATATATATATTTTTTTGACATTGACCTTTCTTGCATTAAGTCACAGAAATATATTTTGAATAAAGACATAATCATTTAAATCTAATCTATTTAAAATACATAGGTATATGTATTAGATACAAATAATTTAAGAAATGTAAAAACTATAATTTTGAAATTACAAAAGAACAACGTTAAACTCATTAATTAAAGATTATTTAAAGCATTCTGAATATCCCAACTCTTGAATTTCAAATAATAATGTAATTTAAATATTAATGTTAATGTTATAATGTGAGATAATTCTAATTTATATTAGTGAAAAATTAACATTGTATTTAATTTTTTGGTCACATATTACATATAAAAATTAAGAAAAATGTTACAATATAAACAAATGTTTAATCCTATTCTGTGTGTTTTTTATTAAACAATTTTTCTCATCTAGTTTTCAATCTGATGGGAAACTGGATTAATTAAATACAAAAAGTGTTGTATTTTGCCCATCCCTGAATACAAGTAAATTAGCGAGAATATGTTATTAGGAAAAATGCAATATGACAATCACTTTAAATGTTTTTGTGAAATATGACACTTATGAAATATTGATTAGGTTTACTTTTGTAATGAATTAATGAATATCATTTTTATATCATATTCAAAAATTTTTATCTACCTATTTAATGTTTTAATGTATAATTCAAAATGTCTTCATTATTGAAATGTGTTATACATTTGTGTACAACCTTTCATAGTACACAATAAATTCAGTATTAATTAATTCAAATAAGTAATTTTATCACTAATGAAAAACATTTGATAAGTAACTTGGTAAGTTTAATCTGAAGAAATATCTAACAGATTGTTGCAGTGTATGATTACAAGAACTAATATATTTTGAATGAAAATTATATTTTTACAGAAATCATAGGGTGTAAGTATTTAGATAATTTATTTATCTAGGTATACCAATTATAAACATCTCTAGTAAAGAATTGTTGTTGTTTTTTTTTAAATTTGTATTTAGAAACTAATTATTTTAAACAGTATAGCTTGTCTATAGACAAGAATAGATTGGTCTGGGTGGTTTATTCAATAGAAATAATATTACAACACTCGTTAATTTCTAGATTGATGTACCTAACTTGGGATGTACACCACCATATTAGGAACTTCCAAATTACCATGTGTAACAAGTGCATTGAATTAACTGATACTTAAAAGTTTCCATATTTGTACTAGAAATATTGTATATAGACTAAATTCATACCTATTATTACATTATTTGTTCATTCATACACAAGATCTTTAACATTGAGAAAATGATGACAATTGAATTAACGATCTAATGCCTTATCACATTCGTAGTGCATTAATATAGTTCACCATATTCGTATAATAGGTACATACAGAAAATACACCTACCATTGATGTTAAAAGTGTCATTTATGTATGGAACATTCATTTTAGATCCACTCGCTACACTTCATACTCTTAACTGCACCAGTAACATAAAATTAATCATGGTTTACTTTTTTTTTAGTTAAAGTTTTGAAAAACAAAAAAAACACAATATTATTATCGAAAAGTTATTAACTCTCAAACCGAAATATTATTCGCGAGATAAAATCGCAATGACACGTTTCGGATTCAATTAACACAAATTTAGAAATTAAGTTTCACATATAAGTAGGTTATAATAAAAATATTATTATAAAAAATAATTGTGGAAAATAATTGTTATGAAAATATTACAACCTATTCGAAAGCGAAAAAAACTTTATTATTTGTATTGGTAAAAGAATCATAACATGATAACACGTCTTTTGTGTGATTTGAACAACAAAAGATAGTTTGATAACAACACCATGGCGGATAACATCTTCCGCTCATATTATACAAACACTCGGCCACTTCCGCATGACGTCATTCGAATGATACAAGGCAATATACGATACGATAGTAGCAAACTATTTCCACGGGTGGAATGAAGTTATTATGATTATCGAATAGAACAATATTATTAAAGTGATAATAAATTAATGTACTATTATTATTGTACCTGTTTTATTTATCGACTGCCCCTACGTTCCACTAAAAATATTTGATAAGAAGCCGCAATGGTTCTCAAATTTGTACACAATGTTGCCTATTCAACTCCTGAAATAATTGAATATCTATTATAAGTTGGTTGCCTATCCTAACACCTAAAAATTAACTTTTTAAACCATTTTTGAAATTTTATTGACATTGTTCAGTTTTGTACCTATACCGTTTATCCAATTACAAAAATTGTAAAAATGTTTAAATATATTTAATTTTTAATTATAAAAATAACACAACACACATGATACATATTAAATAATAACAATAATTAATTCATGTAGTGATTATAGTCATACTTAGGCTACAAAAAAAAAATTGAAACTATTCCAACTGACAGTATTATCGTATAATAAAATCTTATGTTTATAACTCTTTTTTTCTGAATTTAGAATCAGTTAAAATTCGTACTATTATTTTGAATTGTTGATCATACAATAGATTACTTAAAAATAATTTTAATATATTTTTTAGTCACTGAAGTGAACGCTATTAGAGAAAACTGATTAAATTAGCCTAGCCTTATTATTAAGTGTTCATAGAAGTATTAAAGTAGATCTTAAAGACGTCCTAACGTTTAACGTCCTAGACGTTTGTTACTTTAAGGAAGTTATTTTTTAATTTTTCAGATTGTTTTTATAATAATTAGAAAAAACGTTGGAATTTACGTATATGTTTAAAAGTAACTTCGCTCCGAATCATTTTTTATTGGAAATAGTACATTGTCGCGTACAAATATAAATTAAATTCCATTCTATGTTCTACCCTCCCAACTTCTTACATACAACAATGGCCCACCTACCGTACGAAGTGAGAATAGTAGATTGTGAAAACCTATGCCTGTGTATAAATGACTACATTTTAGTAAATTTATTATTAAAACGACGATTTGTGTTTTTAAAATCTTATATAAAGGGTTTTTGTATTTGATTGTAAAAATTATGAGTATCTATATTTAAACAATTTTGGTCCAAATTATTATAAAATAAATAAATAATTATTCTGTTGCTTTCAAAAAAGATATTGGTCCTTGAAATGAAATGACCTTTTTTGGCTTATTACGTTTTAATGTGTAACAACCAATGGGAATATAGGTTTAATAGTATAATACAATTGATGATCTTTTTCTTTTTGTTAATCATTAAAATTGCCCATAGCCCTCCCTAAAATTAAATAATATCTCTGCCTACAGTCAATCATCTTCACTGATTAATTGCGCTGAATACTACTACCTGATTTTTTATTTCAAGCTTTTAGTTAATTGCACTTATTGCATTTTTACATATTTATTACCTATTCACAGTCTGCTTAAACAGCAATATTTACACAGTTTAGGAACCACTGGACCTTATTATCAAATATTGCCAGCGGAACATACATAGAATAATTGGTTCCATATAAGCCGCGTTTGTTATCGTTTATTGCATCTATGACCTAGGAATACATCTTCGGATATTTAAGTTAACTATGAGAACGTTTAAATGGTTAATGGTGTCTGGCAATACAAACTTTAGCTAATAGGACGTTGTCTTTTCGTCGCTTCCACGCCAGATTAAAGGAAACGGTAAAATCTAAAAACAATACTTACCTAAAATTAAAGTACGAAATGAAAATATATTATTAGTTTTATATTTTTTTTCGTAATCCAGGGTGTATGACTACTGTTAAACACAAGCCGGGATTGCAACTACAATACTTGTTGCAAGGAGGCTCATATCGGAACACCAAACTACGTAAGTGACTTTATTTTCTAAAAAATCTTTTAACTAAGGTAAAATTTTAGATATTATTCTCATGTCGTCCTGTTAATAGATTTTGAAAAGTAGTTCCATATTTATAATTTATAACAATGTTAGTATATTTTAACTATTTTGGGTTTATAATAGGGCCCATAGGGCATACATTAGATTTTGGATTAGGTACCTAGACATTTTTAATTTTGTATTTAAATTGCAATATTGCAGATGACCTACCTATAGTATAGATTTTATCTATTGTAAACAATTCAATTTTATTAGGTTTTAGTAAGTAGTGAACGCTCTAGTCGGATATTACCAATAGTTTGAAGAAAAATGCACAATAAAATGGTTTTAGTGTTCAAAAAATAAACAAATGTTTAATAAAGTCAAGTTTTCAATATATATATATATATATATTTTTAATGTTTTGCATATTCTTTAGTAGAATAATTATTATTGAGTATGAATAATATTCACTAAAAAGAGACTAATTAATATCTGAATTAATATGTATGGAGTGTTCCTTTGTTTGTACTTGAGACTTGGGTAATAAATAAAAGAGAATGGTATATAATGTAAGCATACATTTAGACATGATGATGAAATACAAAGCTTTGTAACTGAAGGAATAGTAGAAGGCATTTAATTAAGAAGAAGACCCAGAATGAGATATATTAGCCAAATAATGAAAGATACTCCAATAAAGAGCTAAATATTATTAACAATTAAAGAGATGTATAAAGAAAAAATGTTTTGTTATAAACCAATTATAGGATTGAAAAACTAAAAAATAAAATAATAGAATAATAATAATGTCATATATCAGTATTATATAAACCATTACTCATTATTATTTCAATGCTAGTTTACATAGCATTACTAAGTTTATATTATTATACATAATATAACATTGTAGTTATTAAATTAATAACTGTTAATTGTATTAGTAAATGTTGAAGTTTTTTTATTTTAGAAGGAGAAAAAATGTTAAAATAAGAAAAGACAAATATGGAATAGGGATATATTTTGTGATTGATGCTATTTAAATAATATTCTACAAAAAAGCTAGGTATATTTATGATTAAATTTTTAAAATTGTTTTTTTAAATTTTGCTAAGTATTAACTGAAATATTGAACCTAAATTTATCATAATATTATATTCTGTAAAGAATACAGCATTTTTTACACGTAAGTAGGTATAAACAATCTTATTTTAAATAATAACTATTACATTAAGCAACAAGTAATAAAACAATATGATGTAAAATGAATATGTTGAAAATGTTATAGAAATGCATAAGAATAAAACAAAGTTTTTTTTTAATAAGTGATTTTAATTTTTGAGTTTTAACCAATTACCTAGATAATCTAAATTTAAGAGACAATTAAGTGTTTGTACAATATAGCTCAAAAGATATTATACAATTCAAATTTGAGAAGAACTTGTCAAATTGCCCTTCTGAAGTCCACAACTGGATTTATTTTAATTTATATAGTAATATATATATAAAACAAAATTTAAAAATATGTAGAGAAATGAATGTCACAGGTATTCTTTAGATTTATTTGGGTTCCATTAACCTTATTAATATGCGCTTGTTTTTTAAATTTGTACACAATAACAGTCTTTAAGATTTTAAAAACTTAATTGGTGCCTAGGAATTTGAGCTAAAAAAATAGACTTTTTTTCTGTATTAAAAATTTTATATTTTGTACACAGATTGTACGGTAATCTTAAAAAAATGCACGGTCTATGCCAACAATCATAAATATATAAGCTAAAATTATAAATATAATGGGCTTAACATTAAAATATTTCTGTAATAACAACTTCTCTATTAGATAACCTCTCCCTTCATTAAGTACACTTAGTCTGGTTCTTACAATGTCCCGTATACTCTCACGCATACTCTATTTTACTTCTACATATCATTAGTCCCTTTCCTTTAAGTACTACTCTCCATTCCTTAAGCCTATTGTTAACTTTATCCAACTTTGTTCCTATAAAAGTTATATTATCTGCAAACATATAGTACCATGGTATTTCTTCTCATCTGTTGTCCCTGTGCATATCTGAGGTAGGGCAATCTGCCCAAGTCTTTTTTAGAACTAATACTGTTTGAGAATATTTTATACTAGCTGTCAACCTGATGCACTTCATTGGTTGTCTTTTAGAACAGGTAGAGGGATCGTAGGAATATTTAGATCCCATCCCACAGCGAGAATGGTATTGTCGACTGTTATGGTATGAATTGCTCCACCTTATAGAAAAAATAATTTATGGCTACTGGCTCTCAACCAGTAGGAGCTTGGTGCCCTGGGTTTACTAAGCCTAAAGCATCATATAATCCCCTGAGGTTATATAATTATTTTAAATATAATTTATTGATTAAAATATCATTATAATGTCATTAGTATTTGATAAAATATAATCTAAGTTCCATTAATATGACTCAATGTGTTCACTCATTATCGGTTAGCTATTATTTATACAATTACTATAAAAATTAAGTTGTTATCATTGAGCTACCAAATGATAGCTGTTATTAATAATAGTTTGCTAATCTAGGTAATTTGATTTTATTGTCTAGTATTTACTGAGTTTGTTGGCCACGTTCAAGGTTACCTTTATTATTATGTACATACACTTTATAAATGGAAATTAAAAATAATAGTTGTCGAAGCCTTAATATTTTTAAATTAAAAAATTATAAAATTGTACTGCATAATGTGTATTTTGTAAGTATGGTTTGAAGAAAAAAAAGATGGTCAATGGTATAATATGATGCTTAAAATCTACTAGTAGGTTGTCTATTGTACTAATGATTAACAACAATTTTAAGTTATAACAAAAATGTTATTTCAAAATTAAAATATTTGATTGATTTAAAAAACTATAATATTGATATTTTCTGTTATCTCTGGCTATTCAAGTTATCCGAGTTATCAATATTAATTATTAATCAATTATTGAAACATTTAAATTATCTCACGTTTCCTCAATTGAATTTGATTTGAAAAATATTGTGTTACTTTTAATATTTTAAATACTAATAAATATTATAGGTATTTACCTACTAAATTATTTATTTTAAAATTTAATATGTATATAGTTTATCACCTATTATTCATTGATAATTATTTATTTAAGTTAGATTAACATGACATAAGTATATTATTATTCATTTAAATTATTTTTTTATTTATTCTACATAGTGTGTCAAATAAATAAATACCTAATTAAAAATGTATGTATTTATATTATTTAAGTGCAATTAATCGTTCTTTGTTTTAGTACTGTAGTATTAAAAAATTAATATAAAAATAAATATTAAATACAAATTTCTTAACTTTTCAATTTTCAATTTGTTTATTCAATTTAAGGTATTAGTTTAATTATATTAAAAAGAAAAAAAAATATAGAACTTAATAATATTATTTGTGTAGAAAGAATGTATTATGGATTCGTTGAAAACATTTAATTCACCCTAGTAGTTTAGCAAGTATTTTATTATTATTCAATTTTATAAATATGATTTTTTTAAATAGGTATTTGAAATTTTTATTTAGAATTCAAATTTTCTACAATATTATAATACATTTTTTCTTTCATTTTAAGCTATCTATTTTATGATCTTATCATACCCAATGGTTAACATTTATCACAATTATTAATGGATAACACATATTATGTATAATATTAATCATGATAATACATACTTATCAAGAAAAAAAAATACATGAATATTTTTAGAAGGCTTCTAGTCTAATTGTACTTTAAACAAAGGTAACTAATTCTAACAGTAATTTTACAACAAATGAATGGTTAGAATATGTGACAAGTTTGCACACAGGGTGTGTATTTTATAGGGAGGGTCTGAATTCATTTTCAATTAATACGTTCAATTTAAAAATTAATTTTGAATGATAATTGAGTTTTATAATTAAAAAATTACAAACTCTATAGTTTAAACAAATAATGTTTAACGGAGGTCTAAAATTATGCATCTTTTCGTTGTACTTTCACGTCACGCAGAAAGTTCATCAGTAAATGAGTTTACAACACATGAGTATACATATTATAATTAATTATAATTTATCATAATAATGTGTATAATATTTTCAGTACGTATAAAAAATAATTTTACCAAAACATTTTGTAATGAACTTTTAGGGTTTCCATTACATAAACAGTACCTATAGAAAATTCTTACATTTACGTTTTGCCCGTCTGTCAGTTCTGTAAATGCGTTGCTAATATGGTAAGTTAAAAAAGATAAAATTAGGGATTAAATCTGAGTAGTTTTAGGAACGATTTCTGTCAAGCAATTAAAAATGGTTTTTCTTTTTTTTTTTTCTGTAGATAAAATTCTAATTTATAGGAGTACTGGCTGCGTAGATGTTGCCATCTTAATTAGGATAACCTAGAAAGATTTTTTAATTTAATTTTTCCATTTATTTTCATTATGATTCGATGTTTTTTTTTAAAAAAAAAAAAATTTAATAATATTAAATACTATGAAGTATTTATATTTTCTCTCTTTTCAAGTTATGGGCATTCTTGGACTGAGTTTTTTTAGATTCCGAGCGTATATGCAAAATTTCCAAAATCATCGGACGACTTTTTTTCTTTAATAAGCGTTTTGAAACCAAATTTAAATGAAAATCGCAAAAAAAAAAAAAAAATACGGTACTTCAAATTATGTATTATCGAACAGCGCTTGGAATCGTCTTTCGTCAAGCAATGGTTTATCGTTGCTTACAAATATAAATGAAATAACCTTATGTATCCTTCCTTCCACATTTCTCACCTACAATAGTGGCCGCTCCCGTTCCCAGTATCAGTTTTTTTTCTTCATAATTTAATTTTTTTAAAAGGCGCTGTGTTCTTTAAAACTGTGGGAAACAAAATACTGAATTTTTGAATTAATTGGTAAAATAAGTAATAAGTATTTCATTATTTTTGATTTTTTTTTATAATTCGATTAAGGGGCCTGCGCACGACTTGTTTTTTACTCAAAAACATGCCTTACAGGAAAACCTCTCACGCCTCGCAGAGTGATCAGATTTCGATAATTTTTTTCTTTTGTTAAAAAAAGGAAGACTTCTTACAGGTCGCATTGGACTTCAATTTTAAAAATTATATTTATTAGATAAATGTAGAGATCTGAAGTTTTTATAAAACACTTATTTTAGAATTTTTTAGATGTAATATTCTGGTAATTTTTGAGCTGGTTTATACTCGTTTGACATTTTGATTGTAAAAAAATTAGGCCATTTCATATTTAACTGAACTTTGTTCAAAGTCGTGATTATACATTTTTATGTATCATATTTTGACAACTTTTGACTAACAATGACAGTATCAACTCTTTAAATAGTTATTATCTTTATAAAAATCCTTACACTTCTTTTATTTCGTTTATTTAAGTTTTATTTCGTTGTTGAAATAGCGTTATCGGATGACCAAATTGCGAAAATTTTATTGATATACTTTACACAATATAAATATCAGATAAATAGATTAAATATAGGTAATTTAGGCCTGTGAAACGTTAGATTTGGTTATTGAACTGATCGGAGAGCGACCCATGTGCTTTTATAATTACATTTTATTTGTATTTTTTCATTAAATTATCATAATATTAACGTATATTAATATGTAATTGTAATGCTTAGTTATTATATTATTGATAACTGGGATTAAAATTCAAAGTTTGACTATATTATAAATTAATTTTGTAATAATGTTTTTTTGTTTATTGGAAGTTGTTATTCCGTTTTAAAATATTCGGACGAACTTCGTATTATTTTGTGTACTGTTAAATCAATTTTATTTTAAATAAGGTACGTACCAACATTAATAATATTAACAAATAATTATAGTATTATAGTATCAATAATATTCAGTAGGTACTGAGTATAATATTTGCATAATTAACATTATTTTTATCGTATTCTCATCATTATGAAATTACGATCTATAAGATATAATTTATCACACTTCGTGTGTTTAAAATGCAAATAAATAAATAAATTGGTTTAGATTAAATTGCGTGCTTTATGCGCTCAGGTCTCTATGGTTACGAACGGTTTTTACGGTGACTACTGTAGATCAATACTATTCTTCACTCTACCTGCTGCTGTTACTACTACTACCACTACTACTATTACTACCACCCTCGATTATTCCATGCAACTCTTGCGTTGTAATGTTTACTATATTGTTTTCGCTTTATCTTGTCTGTTGAACTAGTTTTTTCGTTAAAGTTTATTTTATTAAGCTCTACTTTTATTTTTTTTAAAATTTGTATTAACATTTATTCTTATTGCATAATAACTTCGAAAGTTAAAATAATATAGGCGTTGTTAAATGTTATGCAAGACTTAATATAACATCTATCTATATCTCATTTTTATTTAATTATTGTCTACCTTCAACGTTTTATTTTTAAAACAGGTAAGTTTATTATTTATTCATATTATCACTTACCTACAGAGAGTTGTTTAACTTTGCGTTAATTATAATCAAATACTCGCCGGTGTTGAACTTATTGATTTTACATTGTTGTAATTGTTTTGTTTATCAGAATGCATAGTTTTGGTTTGCAGTCAGCGTTGGCGATCCGCCGTCAACGTAAACGTCGAGCCGAAATTAAACGGCACATAGAAAGGCGTCGTTTAAGTTCTCAGTCAATAGAAAGTGGCATCCATGGTTCTAGATCTACAGTTACAAGTCCAACAGAATTTAATGGTTCAATAGGTAACTTATCGCATGGACGAAGAAGAAGAAAGAGACCACCTAAAATGCTCGACACCAAGGTTGCTTCTAGTATTGGTATGCTTCATGTCGGTGTTGTCTTTCTAGTTCTGGGCCTTTTCTTAATTGGATCTGGCATTATGCCTAATGATTATGTTTCATGGAGTGTGAACCATTGGTTCAAAGAACTTGTTATTACTGGTATTAGTTCATGTGCAATTGGTATTTTTCTGATTGTCTTGAATCATTTTATTAACCGTAATGCAGATTCAGATTTAGCAGCATATGTGGAACGTCAACTTACTAGAACAAGATCTGGTAGAAGACTTGTACCAGATCTTGAAACTGGTGCAATGCACACAAAACAGCAGCATAGAGCACGGAAACAGGGTCAGACTGAACAGCCAACTTCTCCAGGTTCTGATCTTGTTCAAATAGCAGAAGAAGAACCATCTGGTTCAGAATACAGGCATATTGATCATTATAACAACTCTGAAATAAAGATACAAAATCCAGGTCGAGCAAATATTGCATATAATAGGGAATTACTGATTACACAGTGTTATGACACTACTGAAACTTAATAAATACAATTTTAAAGAATTGTGTACTTATCAATATTATTTTAAAAACTTTAATATTAATTACATTTAAGAATTTTAATTCACATTTAAAAACTTTTACATTTGAACCTATATTTAATTAATATGCCTATTTATGAATGAATGTACACAACATTGACTTCCTTTATTGATATTTATTTATATATTTATACCTATTTGTAATTTGATATTTTTATACTATTTAGTGGACATTTATGTTATTGTTCAGTATTATTTATTATTTAATAACTATAAAAGCACAATTAATTTAGTAAACTCTAAATCTTAAAAAAAGTAATAATTTATTCCCTTTCTTTAAATATTTTACCTAAATATTGTTTTGCTTGAACTACAGTATGATGTTTAGTTAAATATTTTAATTGTAACTTATAACTGACCCCTAACTATAAAAATCACATTTACCAGAAATTAATATTCTAGTTGTTTTTTAAACAGATATAAAAAAAAATATTGAACTATGTAATTAGTTATTTTTTTATTTTACTGGTATATTTTAATCATTTATCGTATCATAACACTGTAAAAAAAAATATAATTTTATACATACTCAGATTGTAGGTATGTTCAATATTTTTTATGAAATTTATTTTGGAAGACTGAAATGTTAATTTACGGTTTATGTTTAGTTTTTACAAATTATTAATTGCAATCACATTTTGGATTTTTAATTCTTGCTCAACACATTTCTAAAATATAAATGATTCAAAATTGAACATTGGGGATCAAAAGTATTAATTGGGTTAAGCCACACTTAACTATTATAGTAGTTAAATTTTTCTTCATTATAGCACTACTTTAGTGTGTTATTATAGTTTTATTATATTGGCGCTATGTTATTATTTCCTCAGAAAATAACTACATTAATAATTTAAACAATTTACCCTTGTGTTCAAAACTGTACATTTTTTGTTTGAACCATGTTCTTGACTTAAATTATTTGCACTGTGATTTTTTGGTTTATATTTTTTATTTTTAACATTATTAGAATAAGGCTATTGGATATTAAATTTGTATAACTTATTTTATCATTATAGCTAATTATTTAAGTAGTGAATATTTATGCAATTATTATATTTATAAAATAATTAACGAAAAAATGTATTATTGACATTTTAATAGGTAATATTCAAAATTATAAAATACAATTTTTTTTTTTTTTTAAATCATAATTATTCTTATATTTTATTATTCCAATATATCCAAAATTATTTATCAATTATTATTGATACACATTTGTACATTTTTTTTTTGTTTCCTTTGTAGGTAATATTTTATTCTTAGGGGAAAGTAAAGCTCATGGTTGAAACTCAATCAATGAGAGCTTTTATTCCTAGTGGCAAGTTTATGGACTGAGAGGTACATATTAAATGTGTGTACTTCAATGTACTTATGTTTATTATAGTAACTCAATAAAATACTTAGGTAAAATACAATTATATCTTTTGAAGTATTTGTATAAAGTAGGATATTCTACAGTTAAATTAAATAACATATTATTTGTTACATAAATTAAACAATTTATGACAATATACATAGGATCCTTTTATGTGCTCTTTAAATTACGTCAATATAGGATGTAGGCATAATTTGATATCATTAATTATATGATCACATTACATAGCTTGACAATCATTTACCTTTATAATACACCTATCATTCGTTTAATATACTAGAAAGCACAGATTGAATGAAAATATGTACTGATTTCGGACAGCGCTGTTATGCTGTGTTCTTCTTTAGGGTACAAATTGATTGCACAATAGCATTTTTCTCTAATTAATTACTCGGTTTATAAAACATACAGACGAAATAACTATGATTGGAGCGATGCCTGCTGTGGCTGTACGCCATGAGCGACGAAGGCAGGAGAAAAAGGTGGTTTGCGTGAATAATCTGAACATCAATGACCGAGAAGGTACTTCAAACACGACAGGAAACCGAAGACCAAGTCTTTTAACCTTGCAGTCACCACATTCCCAGACTGGCACTTCAATCATGTCACCGCCGTATGTCCAAAACTCACTGTCAGATATCTATGTCTGCTCAAAAGTAAGCCGACTACCACCTACTCGGGGGCAAATTTTTTAATTGGTTACCATGTTAATGGTTAGGTACTAGAGGACGTAAAACTCATACTGTCCTGTTGGTATAAGTACTATATGGTTTTACCTTCTTAGACATTCAAAATATGTAGATTCTGATGATGTACAAGGTGTAACGTACAATTTTAAAGTTTCCTAAACAGTGGAGTATAATAAAGTCTATAGGCACATCATTGCTTACTTAAATATTGTGTTTCTACTTTGGTGTTTATAATTATTTTATAGGTAAATCAGACACCTATTATATGCACCTATTTTGATCTCCACTTTTTAGTAAATTTTGTACAGTTGTGTGTCACCTTATGCACAATTGAATATCTGACATTAAGGTGAATTATTAATATAATAATGTATAATATAAATATAATTTTAAATGTACGTAAGTATATTATGATATGTTTTAAATGCATGTAAACCCATGTAAGAAAAGTGTTTCCAATTTTTACTTTTTGAAATTATTTTTTTTAAATTATAAATGTTTTTAAGAATTTATTTTGATTTTCGGTCATTTATTTCTTTAGTTCATTAGTCGTTATTATTATTATTATTAATTAATTATTATTTTGGCTTTATTTATTTATTTTTGCGTTTTATTTTATTTTATTTATGTTTAGCAGGGTTTAAAAAACTGCATGAGATAAACAATTTTCGTCGATTTTTAAAAAAGGTATCCGTATCAAAATTCAACGCATTTTCATTTAAATATACTTCAATTATATTTTTTAAAAATATTTTTTTTTAATTTGTATGCTTAGATATCTGTGTTGCACATAGCAGTGGTGACCATATTGATTGGAGCCATTCTTTTGATTGTCGGTCTGGTCCAGTTAAAACCTGGAGCAGATGCATCAGAGTATAAATTTGTGTTGATCTTCTCTGGTCTCATCACCTCACTTATTGGCATTATTATGGCCATCGTCCGGTGTTGTCTGCTTCCATGGGTCATTAAAAGAAGGCAAAGAAGGTCCACTCCATCAACACCAGGATTGCTGTTAACTGCGTAGGACATGTTTTTTTATCAATAATAGAACCTTTAATATTTGCTTATCCGCTTAATATAAATTAATACACATTACATAACACATACACACTTTCATTCATACATACATAAGTACCTCAATTGTTGATGATAGATAAAATACATCAACTTATTAATATTCATTGTTGTTATATTTAGGTTGATAATATTATATTAGAGCTAAATGTTATATATATATATATTATACTTTTCACACTTTCCATTAAAACAAACAATCAAGGGGGAATATCTTCCATCAGTTCTTGTCAGAACGTAATATTGATATATGAGTCTGTGATTTATATCTTAAACATTGGTTCATATTAGATTTGAATATATAACAAGAAAATATAATATGCATATATTTAAAAATTGTTTTAATCTCTCTTGTTTAACAGTCACACTAATGTTTAGCTAATTTTATATAATTTAACTCAATCAATACCCACATAAAATATATATGAAGATTCATAGCTTGTAAAAATAGTCTAAATAAAATATTTTTGGGACCAAAAATATAATCAATTGACATTTCTGGATTAATTTAGTCCGATTCAAATGCAACATATCTTTATAGATTTTAACATAATTAAGCAATGTTTTTATTGTTTTGGGTAACAAAAATCTGAGTCTTCTTTGTCTTTGTTTTGTACTACCTATTAGATTCTTTTTAAAAATAAAATATACAAACTTCTTTAGTTTGGTGGTCCATTTAGAATTGAGCCGAGAATAATATTTTACTACTTAGCTCATTTTTGGATTTATGCCATAAATTTTGAAATCTTCCATTATTATCCTATGCATATATTATTTTAATTGACTGACCTTTTTGACCAAATTATAATTTCCCGATCAATCAAAAACTGGAATGTCCTAATCAAAATATAGCTACTTAATAATACGCTCAAATTAAAATTAATATTGTCCAACCTAATTTGTATAAAAAATATGAAAGAATTATTATTAAAGTTAACAAAAATATTAAGTAATTTCATTAAATAAAATGTTTACGTACAATATATATATAATATTCTATTATTACATTCTGAATTTTGAAATAAAATGAAAACGATTTGAATATGAATCAACAAATATCAAGTATTGAATATAAGACACTTGATTTTATAAAATAATAAATTAGTATTTTATAGCAGTTTCAATAACCAAGCAATTGTTTTTTAATCTACATTTTTGTATATCATACTAATATTATTAATCTAAAATTTGTTTAAATAATATTAAAAGAGTGATTATTAAAAGGGTGTATGTATAACAAAATGGTTTAAGATAATGAAGCGATAATTAATATAATATTAATTAATAGTACAAATAAATAAATAGTTTCACACATACATTTATGTTATGGAATAGTAAAATAAAAACAATGATACATGTATAATGTGTAAATTATCAATTTATAAAAAATTAATTTATGGAACAGTTACGCATATGGTGCAAGAACTGCTCATTGGGCTTATCTGTTTTAGAGTAATTATTTTTATTTATTTGAGACTGTTTTTTGTGCCAAAAAAATTGATTTGTTCTTTATTGTTATAAATGTTCTAAAAAATCTTAAAAATATTATAAAAATAATTTATATTTTTTAATTTTGTCTTTAACATAATTATTTATTTATAATTCTATGTTTATTTTAAATGATTTTCCTTACACCCAAATAATAATCACTCTTATTAATAAAAAAAAAAAAAAATATTGTTAATTTTGTTACATTTGTAATTATTTTAAATAAACTTAATAAATTATTATTTTATATTAATTAATATAAAATTAAGTTATCTTATAATTTATCTATTTATTATTATTATTATAATTTACTTATATAAGGATACAGTAATTAAATTATTAATCACTTATATTTGTTAATATATTTTTTTTAAAATCTAAATGTATTGAAAATTTGTGTTGTTCTTCTAATCTGTTAATTCTTATGATATTTTATTGATAACTTTATTACAAATATTTTAAGGAAAATAAATATAAGTTACCTTCCAGGAATTTTTTACCAAGAAAAATGAATTGTGATACTGATTTTTTTTTGGTAGGAAACATATTTAAATATGCGATTTTAAATGTATGTTTGTTATGAATATTTTAGTAATTATTGTAATTGCACTTATAATCCACCCAATTTAATCTGATTGTTTAGTTTTATTATTTTTTTCATTACACATTAACATTGTTAAATAATGTACATTTATGATTTATCTAATAAATATAAATAATGAATACCATTTAGTGAATTACAAGCTACCGCCTGTAAAATACTGATATGTATATATATATTGATTCTAAAAAAAGTTAATAGCTTTATCGTAACACTTAGGTAAAAAATCATCCGAGTAAATAATTATTTATATCTTATTTTCATAAATTAAGCTATTTTTGTATTGCAAAACAATATTTATATACAAATTATATTCGTTTTGTTATCTATTTACCTATAATTCTGCATTATTAACAAGTTTTATTCAGGTTTTATAGTATGGCATAAATATAAATAAATAAATATAATTATTAAAACATTTTTTATTGTACTACATAACCCGTCATTCACAAAAACTATATATTGTGCTATAGTTTGAAAACATACACACGAATCTGATTTGTTTTCACAAAACATTTCTTTTAATGTAACATTTGAGACTAATGGTAATTTTAATAATGTATAATAATATTAACATACATCCAATATTTAGCTGTTTATTGCTGTAATAATCATTTTCTTGCATATTATTTTTGATATATTTATTCAGGGTGGAAATATGAACATCATTTTGAGTTGACATAATATTATACTGTGACTGGTTTTATTAAATACATTTTTATTGATAATATTGTGTTAACAATTTTTAATAATTTCTGTTTGAATATTATTATTTGTATTATGATTTTTAACTTTTAAAATGAACAGGGCACATTTCTTTTTTATATTTTATAGTATGGTTTACAGTTGCGTACAGAAGCTTAATCAAGGAGGGGGCGGTTTAAAAATTTTAATACACCACAAAATATCGCAAGAGGTTTCCTTGTCCCCCCAAAAAAATCAACAGTATTTTTTTTTTTCTATTATTCCTCCACAGCAATAAAAAAAATTAGTTTATAGATAATTAATAATATACAAAAAAAAAAATGATGTATATATAATATATGTTACAATTAAAAGCCAGAATTTGGAAAAATCTCAGAAATGTGAAAAATGTACGGATAGTACAGTTTTGCTCAAATAATGTTGGTCATTGTTAATGAGATTTGTGATGAAAAAGCCGAAATATGATATTTTGCCCAAGTCGTGTGGACATTTTACGTTTTGCCTGGGTATTTCTCAGATTTGCATGATTTCGGTATTTATCTTTAACGGCCGTAACAAACGAGAAATTAGATAGTAAAAACCGGTGTGAATTCGAGAAATTTTTTATAGCAACCAGTGTCAAAATTAAGAACACCGATTTCATTTTTCTGCACCATTACATGCATATGGTGTAAACTACACAGGTTTCATCCCCTCGAAATGACGAACAAACAGATAAATGATAATAATAATTTAGTTGATAATAATTAAAACCTATTCAAGTTAATTTTTATTATTTATTCATTAGAGGGAAATGGGAAGTATAGCCATTGATTAAATATACTTAATATTTAATCTATGGTATAGTATAGGTAAAACACTACTAATTTAAATAATTGATTAATATTTAATTATTAGTAATAGACCGCATACAATACACCTTGGACCACATCATAGATAATAGAAGAAATGAGTGATAACTTTTTATGGTTAAAAGCATAGACCTTATATTAACAGACACTTAATAAAATAGAACTTCGTTTTTAAATTGACAGGTAGTGCTTAAAGGTAGCAGTGGTGAGTTTTTTACTAATAACATGATATCCATTATCAATAAAATTGTAACATGGAATTCGGAATTTATACAAATTAGACAATAGGTATAATATTTTTAATTTTATTATACTTTTCAACACATGAAATAAGTATGTTAATTAGTATTCTTATACAAAACAATAAATAATATATGTACCTGTATTGTAGGTATTCCTAACTAGTAAATTAATTAGTAACTAATTTGGATAGTTTTCTTAATTTTTAGTTGATGGTTAAAAAAATAATTATATTGTCTCATTCTCATTGTAATATGAGTAGTCAATATATACTCAAACATATCATTTTTATGTTTAAAACATGGAAATAGAATTAAATAATTTAATTTAAAAATGTCATCAATGTCTTCGAATATATTTTGACTATTAACATGCTGGGAAAATGACATTTCAATAAATTTGTCTAAAAAGTATAAAAAAAATTGTTTTCAGGGTGAATCAAAAAAACATTTAGATTTTAAATTGACTAGTTGGGCAATTACTGTATAACAACTGTTTTCTGGATTTTTTGTATCCGAAAAACAAATTTGACAATTTGTTTTTACTAATTTTTCTTATCAGGTATCTATTAAATTAAAACAGTGATATCATTCAGTTAACTTAAAATAAATCTACATCATTTATCAGCATAAAATATTTCAACACAATACAAATTACACTACACATTCAAAAGTAGCATTGTCATTAAAATTATGTTACTGAAAGATGTCATGACATAAGAAAACTCTTTACCAATCAATTTGCTGCGACATACATTTGGACTGAAGTAAAAGGAAACAATCTTTATCATATTTATACCTGTCTAAGGTAACCATCAGTAAGATAATTGTAATTGTTTTAACAACTACTATATAATTTAGTATAATCATTCATATTTTTATATAGATGCTGTTTTAAAAAATGCCAAAGATTCAAAAGAGTATGACATTATTATTACTTGTATCAAAAACTATATGAGACATGCAAAAGCTAGATTTTATAAAAAATAAATGAATACAGTATGTTAAATTTGTTGTTATTCATAAAAATAGTAAATTAATACATTAAATTAAATTAAATAAACATTTTTATTTGCTCTTGTATGCCTAAAAAAAATATCTCAAGTTATTATCCACTTGATATATAATGCATATACTGAAGTATATATATAATAACTTGTGGTTATCCATTAGGATTAAATAATATATCTCATGAATAACTTCAACAAATAACCAATGGATATTGAAATAGCATATACAAAAATGCTGAAAAGAAACATGGACATTTGGATATCTTTTATATATTCATTGGAAGTCATAAATAAATAATAACTAACATTATGGATATCTGAAAATTACATCCACTGTACACAGTGGATGTAATTTTATAACCACTGGATATATTTGTGGTGTGTAGGCATCTACATTCCATCGACCAACTTGTATAATAGTGTTTAAATAAGCTTTTAATTTTAAAATTTTTCCCTCTTATATATAAATATAGTAATACCGCTTGTCGCCGCTATTAGTTATTAGCGCTCTATGTCTATTCGATGAATAAGAATCGTCGGAATCAATAGTTTGCTGATAACAGGGTTTCGTGAATCCTGTATACCGTAATTTGTAGACACGGAATGATTACACACCGGGCGTGAAAAGAGAGCGTTTTTCATTGACTGATTGACTGTAAATTATCGTGTACAATAAAAATAATCCATTACCTATATTCTGAATATTTAGGTACCAAGCATACTTTATTGCCCGATGCCCCAATATAATATTACAAGTACCTACGACCAACTTGTTGGCACAAAATACAAATTACAAATTATATACAATTATTCACTGAAAAACCGTTGAGTATGTGACGTGTATACAAATAATTTTCATTAGCGTATTATTGTAAAATTACTGCACCTGGTGTCAAGGCGGGCTATATCTCTGCGATATTTCCACGGAGCTCGTAATGCTGTAGTCATACGAGTTTCGTATAGTAGTATTAATATGAGGCTTATGGTTATAAGGGGCAAATATTGATGTGATAAATGATAATAATATGGATTAATTAATTAATATTAAATAGTATTAATAATTAATAATCAATAAATATGAAAGCAATGAAACACAATCTATAACAATGGACCATGGCTTTGTGTAAGGCTGGAGACATACTTCAGAGCGGTGAGTGGTAAAGTGATAAGCGATTTCCGCTCACTGCTCACCGCTCAGCGGCATAATAGCTGTACTACATTGTGTTTACTTTTCTGTGATAACTGAAATATAATAAAATATATAAAACTATCTAGGTTACACCGTCAAACTACAACTATTCAAAACACGAGTAAACACGAGGCCATATTAAAATAAATAAAAACATTTTTTGTAATTATTGAATTGGATTGTGATCATAAATAATGCTGATAAGGGTTTGCCGTTCAGCGCTAATCTATAAAAATCAAAATGGTTTGACGCTCACCGCTCACAACTGCAGTATGGTCAGTTTTATACTAAATTATATGTTTGATTTTGTCAACAAACATGACGCTCACAGTTCTGAAGTATGTCCCCACAGCCTTACAATGAATACAAATTATAATTAATTAGATATTGATTAGAATTGATGTGCTATCTACATCAGCGGTAATTTTTGATAACAATGATAACGTGTGGTTGATACCATCACTACAATCTGGATAGCATGGTTCATTTAATACATTAATCACGTGTTCTTTCTTTTCTTTTTCTGGTACCGTATACCGTTTTGTGCTCGTACCGTTTGTATTTAATTAAGTTAGATATATTATATTAAAATGAAAGTAAAAACTGTTTCAACTCCATCCAAAACCAAGCCGTTTAGAAAATCTGTGACCGGTTCTATACAAAAGAAGAAATTTCCTAAACCTACTGGTGCCTTCAAGAACTTAGTGAAAATTACCGATGAATTTGAAGAGCTAAAATCCGGGAAAAATCCAACAGGAATTTCTTGTTCAAAAGAACCTAAACTTGTTAAATCTGCTAAAAAAACAAAGGCCAAGAAGGAGAAAAATGAATCTGATGGTAAAGTACCTAAAAAGTCTATTGAATTAAAAAAGTCCAAGGAACCTGTTGTGCCTCCTAAACAGAAAAAATTAAAGAAAGAAACAACTGATGGCGAGTCTAAAGTTTCTCTAAAATCAAAAGTAAAATTATTTAAATCTAGTTTAACTACAGAAGTGGATAGTGAACAGAGTGAGGGTGAACCTAAACTTGATATTACAAAAGTAATTTAATAATCCTGATAATGTATAATTTTCCAATTTCTGACATTTATACTAATTTACAGGTTGAGGCAGCTGTTAATGCACTTTTCACAATGGTAAAAGATTCTTTGAATACAAACAAAACTGAATTATGGGATGAAGCGACACCAGTACATTTAGTAGTTACAGGAGTAAAATTGGGAACCGGTCCAAAACGAATTATTAGAATGTAAGTTGAAAAATAATTATTCTCTATGTATTTCACTATTTGTAATTATAAAATATATTACAGAGTATTACCAAATTCATTGGTAACTGATACAACTGATATATGTCTGATTGTACCAGATCTTGTCCGTGGACGTAATGTTGATCATGAAAAAACATATCATTATTATAAGGAATTATTGGCCAAAAATGGCATTAAAAATATAAAAACTGTAAGTTAATAATAAAGATTTAATATTGTGAATAGATATTAATTGTTTTATTTTAAATAAGATTTTGCCAGCCAGACAAGTTCGAGTAGAGTTCAATGAATACGAAGCCAGAAGAAATTTGTGTCATTCACATGATATATTTTTAATTGATCAAAAAATTAGTGGTTTTATGGTAAAGAAATTGGGAAAAGAATTTTATATTAAACGAAAGTAAGATTGAAATAAATACTGCGTACAAATGACTAAATAATCAAATTAAAAAATTTGCAAATAGTTTAAATTGCGATACTAATATAAAATACTAATTAGTATAAATAAGTTATTAGGTTGAAATAAATTGTAAAAATATATTGGTATTTAATTTGAATAAAAAAATTTAATTAATTATAAGGACAATTTTAGTCCTCATTAGTTTCTTTGGTTTTGTTAAAAAGATTAAACATTCTTCTAGTTTTAAAATTATAGTGCTTAGTGTTTACTTTTTCTCTTTTAAAATAATAGTTTTTGTTATCTTTATTAAAGAAAAAAGATCTTTTAAACCAGTATGTATATGATTTAACTACTTACAAAAATTTAGTTTTTACAACAATAATTGTATTTTGTATCGATATAATATATTTTAATGAAAATGAGGAAAATTTGATAATTGATTTGGATATTTGTTGTTTTATTTTTTCAAGGTTTCCAATTACTGTTAAACTGACTAAACCTCATTTAAAATCGGAAATAGAATCAAAGCTGCACAAAACATCATTTTTCCTTGATTATAAAGGAAATACAAAAACTGTACAGGTATGAAATTTTATTAAGTTAAGTTATTTCTCATTTATTTTTATATTTCCTATAGAAAATTATATTTTTGTAAAAAGTTAAGACTATCATGTTAATTTTTTGAAATTAAAATTGTTATTTCATATATAGTAGGAGATTTTTTTTTTTAAATACCACATTCATTATTTTGGTATCTTTCAAAGTAAACAAATTTAAATGGGATAATAAAGACAATTCTTATCAGGAAATAAATGTTTTACTGTAGAAAACTTTTTCTAGGAAGTTTAGAAGTAATAATTAATTTAAAAATAATTTAATACTGTTGGATGTAACCTATGACAAACAGATGTAAAAAAAAAATAATAATTCGATCAATAAATTAGTAGTAATTTATTTATATATTTATTATAATATGTTTATAACATGACTAGCATAGTTATAAACTTATATGTGTGTATTATAAACATATAAAATGTGGGTATCTACGCCAAAACGATAAAATTTAATCTATTAGTATTACGTTATATTCAATAATAATCGATAAGGTTCGATATGGTATGATACTATTAAAGTTATATTATGGACATAATATCAGTGATTTTATAATTTATAAATATAAATAAAACAGCTGAAAATTGTACTATAAATATTTTTAATGATTGATTTATATATATTTTTTATTTTTTTTGGAGTCCTAATTACTTCCATTTGTCCCTATTCGTGCTGGATGTGCTACTGTTCTAGATTTCAAGTTAGGATACATAAGATGCTATGTAGGATAGAGTTATTTAATTTATATCTGTATGCAGCAATACATTATAGATAATTAAATCAATTTTGAACACAGTGAAACATGTTTTGAAATGCTATGATTTTTTATCATTTTCATCAAAATTTGAACTTCAAAAAGGTTTTAAAACTGCAATATTAAGCTTAACTTTTTTTTTTTATTAATCTTTAAGTACAACTTATGATAATTTTCATGTAAACATTTTAAACATTTCCACTTTGCCAAAACAATTTTACTAACACAAAATTAAAAAAGCTTAATAATTTCAAATGCCAACAAATAGCTCAATAACTGTCAGAATGTTTGGAACATATTACTACATCTAAAAAATCTAATGACCACAATTTCTGGCTGTGCCTCGATTCCTTCCAACCTGTCCTGTCCTATCATCATAATAAGTGGTTTTATTCAATTTTATTTTTTTCACAATCGGAATTTTATTTTTTTATCAATGATTTATTGTTTTGTACAGATATAAACTGAATTACCCTATATTATATCCTATCTTCTCAAATTTACACATAGAACAGTGGCACACCTATGGTGTGAAGTTTGCCTATTTTTTTAATTTTATATATATTATATGTACATGAGAATATTTTTTTTCAAAGTCTGAACTAATACTATTTTGGTGTTTTTTGATAGTTTTAATCAATAAGTTAATTATTAACATAAATATTATATTATTTGCCATTGTTTTAGGTTGGTCATATGAAACAAACACCTAAGCAAATTGCTGAAAATATTTTAGCGTCCTTTGATAATTTAGCATATAATTATCCAGGTGGTTTGAAGAACATCAGAGTTATGTTAATTAAGAGTCCAACATCTGAATCATTGCCAATATATTTTTCAATGGGTTTGTAATTATTTAAAAGAATAGAAAAAACCAACAATAATTTTATGTTTACAATAAATTGTTATTTAGTTTCTAGAAATGAAGTTGAAACACCAAACATTAAATCTGATGTTTATTCTAAGGATAAAATTGTTGAAGGTGAATTATTTGGCAAGCGAGTGTTGGTTAAACCTAATGGAGATGTAAAACTTTTGTCGGTGAGTTTATATTATTTCTGGGTGAAAATTTTGTTTTTTGTTAATTTTTAATTGTATTATTTTATAGGGTTCCGAAGAAGAATCTGACTATGATGAAGATTTTGCTAAATTTACACAAAAGAAAATTAAAAACAACACAAATTCTAATAAAAAAGATGATGAAGAGGCTGAAGTTAGTAAAATTGATTATTTATATATATTACTTATTTATACTTATTAATTATAATAAGTAATATATTTTAAAAAGATTATCATTAAAACTATATATAATTACAGCAATCTGATTCTTCAGTTGATCAAGATATTGAGGAAATAATAAATACAAAAGAGGGTTCAGAATCTGATAAGGCTGGTTCAGAAAGTGATGGTGGTAATGATAATGATGATGATGCTGAAGCAGAATATTTAATGGAATTTGCAGAAACTAAAAAATTACAAGTAACAATTAATAATTGTTTAGAAGAAATATTTATAATATGTTAATGCTATTTTTATATGTATATAAACATTATAAAATTAATTAGTTAAAAAAGAAACGTAAGCGAGAAGATGAAAATACAGAGGAAACAAATGAAGTAAAAAATAGAATTTTAAAAAACAAAACAAAAGTAAATAGATCTGTAAATACTAAAAATGTAAGTTTATTAATATACAATTTATAGTTATTCATAGTTACATGGTATATAATATATATACTATTATTTACCTATTGTATTTTTACAGAAAAAAATTAATAAAGATGCTATGAAAAATAAGACATTGGATGAAGAAGAGAATTTAAAATCTGAGAATGATGGTACAGAAAGTGATGAAGCAACTAAAAAAATACCGGTAATAACTTAGGACAGAAATAACTTATAAAGTGTTCTAGACTTAAGTATTTTCTATATTTTTAAAGTTGTAGTTTTTGTTATTGGTTATTAAAATAATAAGTACTATTAATAATAATAATAAATTCAATATTAAAAAAAAAAAAAACACACTTAAAATCGGTATCCCTGATGTCTACTTATATTTTAATGGTTGATCGGCCTTGATATTTCGTGATTATAAGTGTTATGTGATGATCGTCATTTTCGTCAATTTAAACCGATATAAATACCTACTGCGTTCATATGTATACCTATTATTAGGAGAGGTCGATTTTGAAAGTTTACAATATATTGGATTTACTTTGGTCTAGAACATTCTGTATATATTATATTTATGTTTTCATTAAATATATTAACTCAATACAATTAATTAGCTGAAAAAAAATAAATTTATTCGTAAACGGCAAGGAAAAGTCATTGAAAATGTGAGATCAAAAGAACAATTAAATGAAACTAAGTCTGTTAAAGGAAAAAATGTAAGTGTATTTTTAATGTTAATATTATATAATGTATTATGATAATTAATATTTGTTATTTATGTTTTTATAGAAAATGGCCATAAAAAAGAAGAAATTAAATAAGTAAATAATATAAAAATGTTTGTATAAAATTACTTATTTAATTGTATTTCTGTATTAAAATTGTTTACTATTTTGACAGTGTAAATGTCTGTTTTGTATTATTTTTGTTTAGTTTATTTCTTTTATCAAAATATTTATCTGAAACTTGTACATTGTCAATAGTCAAAATGTTTGGTGTTTTTGACCTTTTTTGAGTATAAATTAGATTTCACAATGTTTCAATAAAAAATAAATTATGTACGCTACTGTTCATGGTTACTATTATCTTATTTTAATATCCATGACTTAATTAAACTCTAGTAATTCGTTTAGAAGTAGTAAGTCTTATAACTATCATCAAGTATAATTTTGACATTGCTCACCCACTTTTCACTAGTTGTAACTAATACATAATATACTTTAGGTATATAAACAATTATAAGATTTAAAATTTCATATAAGGTAGATGAATACCAAACACATTTTGTTTTTAAATAAATTATTGAGTATATGTAATCTACCAAAGGTGATTCTATTATATTAATTTAATCATCTAAAACGTTTAACTATCTAAAATAATTATATTTCTATACTTATGGTTACTATTTCTTTTAATAAATGTATAAATGAAGTGTTAAAAATAGAAACTTATAAACTTGTTATAAGTTTTACAAGGTATAAAGTTTCAGTTTAATCATTTGTACTGTATAAATGTCTGTATATATACTACTAAGTTTTGTTTTTCGTCGATGATTAAATAATACATTTGTTAAAGTATAAGTTGGTCAGCATCTTCACTCTCCTCACTTCCTCTTATTATTTTTTATTTTGATTTCAAAGGTACTTTATAATAATTAATTATATTTTAGACATAATTTTAGAGAAAAATATAGTACTAAACCAGTGATTCACAAATATTTTTATAATGATGACCTAAGTAATAAATAAGTAAATATGACAGAATTGAAAAAAAAATAACAATCGCTTGATTTATAAATACATCAACTACCACGCACTTTTTTTCTATAAGACCAAATAGAGAGTGCTTGTTTTTAAATAAAAAATATGAAGAGAAAACAATAGTTGAGTATCAAAGACAATATCAAGATTTTGAATTGAACTTTTATTAATTATGGTTAAAATATGTTTTTACATTTCGAACGACAAAAATAAATATTCACTAAAATTGCAAATCAAAAATGTAAATAAATATAATAATAATAACATTGATAACATTTTTTCTCTGAAAATTAGGTATAAACGTAGTGTATTCTGGCGAAAAACTTTAAAAATCGCCCTCACCAATGTATTGCTGTTGGGGTTCATCATCTTTCTGGTGTAATTTTCAATGTATGCATAAAACCGCATGGTGTACGTATCGAATAAAATTAAATAAACCTCATTTCTGTATTTTTTTTTTTTAATAGCCTTTCAAAACTGCACTGCCTGTTTCGCCGCACTCTGTACCTACAGCTTGTGGACTGTATTATTAATTGATAAATAATTATCATCAATATTTTTATTAAAAAAAATGTTTTACGTTTTTATGAAACACTAAACTTTAATTTTTTTATTTTTAAATTAATCTACAGCAATGGGAAATCAGTTTTTCACATTTCTACCCCACTACTACCATCGTTTATTAATAAGTATAATTAAGTGATGTTTTGTTAATTCTGTTTTCCTCATCGCGGAGCAGGCTCACATTATTAACTATACTAATTAAAATTACGGTTAGAGGTGAGCGGTAGGACCACGTCACCTCCTGACATTATACTAACTTAATCTAACCTTAATCTTAATTAGCTCTTTTCCTGGTGCCATTAGTCGCTGATCCGGGCTTGTGTGCCTTTGAGATCAGTTCGGTCGCAAGCGACGTACTTGCCACCCCCGTCCGTGCAGCCAGTCTCCTTGTGGCCAGCTATGCCGCACCTTCGACACGACTCATGCAGGTCAGGATCATTGCAGTCCTTGGTAGCATGTCCGTATCCGTAGCACCTGTAGCACCTAGTAGGTTCGGGAGCTCGAACGGTGGCCACTTGCTGGCCGGATTTTAGAGTCCAGATTCTAGTGACTGTTACGTCGGCTTTGTTGGAGGCAACTATGGGGTCGTCGCTGTCGCCCGGAACAGCGGCTCGGATCGCGGTAAATACCTGGAGACAGTGCCGGTTTGTGAGCCGAGCTTGTCGACGAGGATGCTCCTGAGCTTGTCTGCTACGATGACGGCTTTTTTGCTCCTAGTGAGCTTGACCAGGAGGTCGCTGGCGCGGGTTTTCCTCATAGACGTGATATTGTTGCCGAGGTCGGAGGGGTCGCACGACCCTTCCTCCGTCGGTTTGTTTCTTTGACCGCCGTCGAAGATGAGCGGGATTGAGGCGCGGAGCTGTTCGCACGCCTTGAATATGTTGTAGGTGTTAGAGTGGTCCGTGGAGTGTTGGAAACCGTCCGGTGGGCTCGTTTTCGTAAAGGGATTGGATATCCAAGCCGTGTTGAACGAGGGCCGAGTAGAAGCGGCCCTCCTCCTCCCGGGACGACTCGTAGTTTTTCGGCCTCTTGGTTCCTGCGGAAGGAGAAGGGTCCTCGTCGTTGTCTTCCGTACGAGATTTTGTGCCGCTAGTCCGTGGAGACGAGGTTATGCTGCCCAGAGCTGAGACGGGTCGCGATGATCAAAGCGAGCCGGGTGACCGGGCTGGGCTGAGCGCCTCGAGGCGCCGACTGCGAGCCGGGGCGCGGCGGCGGGATGACGTGGGCGTCAAGACGCGCAACGGTTGTCGTTGTCGTTTGTCGTGACGGCGGCCGTGACTCGTTGGACACTAAACTTCAAACACTATATTGAATTTAATGCCTTCAAGTCCCCGGTACTTTTCGCGACCTACTATAGTGCTAAGTAAATTACGTTTTATTTCGAACCTATGGCGTGACGTCAACATCATCGCATTTTCCGAATTTCAACCGGAAACGAATAACCGATTTGTCCGTTTGCGATTGAGTAGGCATACCGGTTATCAGACTATTTATAACCGTAGCGCCCGTAGCAAATCGTTCGTGTCTGACGGACCGCCGACACTCCACCGGTCCATCCGAATATTGTGTATGGCCCAGTCCTTACCGCGGGCGTAGATTAAAGACCTTGTCAAACAGAACGCGTTATTTACACGCGTGAAAGCGTTACTATCGTCGCGTTGTATTCAATTACAAATGATATCGGCTAACTAACTTGGCTCGTCAGCGTGATTAACGCGGCGCTAGAACACAACGTTGTATAAAATTACCAGATCACGTGCGTTACAGCGTTATTTTTGACCCTAAGAAACAGCTATTAACGATACAAAAAAGAAATGAAAGGTACAACAGGACAAGCCAATAAAAAGTATCAAAAATGGCCGTGGGCAAGTCAGTTACAATTTTTAGATAAAAGTTTAGCTCCAAGACAAATGACATCCAATATTATAACTGACTTTCCATTAGAAATACAGACATAAGAATTAAGAATTAACATATCTTTCAGAGATAACTTCTTCACTTATGGCATAACATCAATTTTCGACGTCGAACAATCGGATGATCCACGATTATACGCGTGTACTGATTCTTCATTACCACTAACGAAGAAAATTAAAACAAAAAGTAAAGGACCTAATGATCAGCCTGTCGGCGTAGACAAAGTTATTGGTTATCTGGAAAATAAAAAGAAACATACATATGATAGTGTCGACCACTTATTTCTCAGTTATGCAGGAACCTTCAAAAAGTTTTTAGAAAGAAATCTTAGAAAGGTTAAAATAGAACTTACTAAATTATTCGCTGGCATGGAATTAAAAGAACTAGACAAACGCATCTCTTCAAGTTCACTTTCCCTGCATACTTCAATGAGCAATTATTCAACTGACTCTGATTTTCGTCAATCAAAATCAAATGCTTTTCAAAACGTGATGTCATCATCAGAAAACTGTTCTACAGAGTATACTTATGATGAATATACCTACCGTCACTAACAATAGTTATTTATTTAAAGTATAATAAATAATAATTCGATTGATTAAAAGTGTAATTTGTTTTTAATTAGTTATTTTTTTATTGCATACCTGAGACAAATTGCAAGTCTTTCTCTTGTGTGTATTGGTTTCCTCCAGTTTGTAGTTTTTTTTTCAATCCTTGGTAAAATCAGTTCGTACAATTCTTCAAAACTATCCTGAGACATCCGGAAGTACAAATAAAAACGGTCTTCATGTGACTCCAGTTGACGACATAAACGGTGGTATTCGCCATAATTTTCTCTTTTTTTATTTATGCCACGAACCCAAATTCGCTTCCCCTTTTGTTGACTTTCAACTACTGCGTATAAAAGTAAAAGTTCTTCTTCGTCTGAACTACTGGACATTTTTGTCAACTATACCGTCTATACCTTGCAAACGTACTAACAATACTGCTTTATTATCGACTACTATCAATCTATCATGACGCAAAGCTTTGGTTTCTGTGTGACATATGTAACGTTAGCGGTAGCGTTAATTACGCGACGGTAATACGCGTTCTGTTTGACAAGGCCTTAAAGGTTTATTTTTTTTTTTTTAGATTTACTTGTTTCGCATCGATATAATTTTAACCTAATGCTTTTGTGTTGTAGTTAATGCGAACAAATGAATACAATATCCTATGTAGTTGCAGCCGAAGCCGGCCGCGGTGTATCTGTAACATTTTAAGGTGCGATCAAAACAGAACGGCAGCGAAGACTTGTTATACCAATTATTGAGTAGGCATTTAAAAATTCCAGACAATATTGGGTACACGCGATCGTGTCGTACGGATTTTCCGACAACTCGATTTGCCGATGCCCGTTACGGGTACCTGCCCGTGAAGGAGATGCCAATGATGCATTTTTGACATTATAACGTTATTTGAATATTCTCTGAGTATCGCTTGACCCCCAATACGTTATGATCGTGGTTTAGAACATCCCATTCTATCAATTCGATGTATTAAATTATTCAATACTAATAGTAGGTCGCCGCGCTCAGAATTTATTATAAACCACGAAATTTTAAATTTAATATTATCAAATAACTAACGATGCAATGGTTACTAACTGTCAGCTGTTAAGTGGACGTCACCCGTGCATTTTTTGTTTTTTTCTTACTAACGGAAGATGTAGTAAAAACATGTTTACGTAGACTGCATGGAACTCGCTAAGTTTTTGTTTTAGAGACAAAACCACCTATTATGAAATTAATTTATAACAACGTTCCGGAGGACAAGATGTTGCGTTTTTTTGAAAATGTTATTTTGTGAAAACATTAGGGAATTAATAAAAATGTCGAAAATGTCGTTATTTTTTAACGGTAAATTGAATGTTGTACTCGGAGAAAATGGAAAAACGCAACGTCTTATCCTCCGGAATATTGTTCTCTTTTGATTTTATAATAGATGTTTTTAATCCAAAACCAAAATTAAGCGAGTCCTATGTAGTTTGAGTAACCACGTGTTAACTATACCGTGCGTTTGGAAGACGGAAACAAAAATATTGTATTAATGCATATGTGCCGTCCTCTTAATAATATCATAGTGTAGATTATCAACGCTATGTTGCTTGTAGATTGTAATATTATGGATTACCATACACAAATTGTTTTTGTATTTCGTGAAACTAGGACTTGTCAGCGAATTGGTACTTATTTTTATTTATTCCGGAGACTGGTTTCCGCGTTGCCGAATCGGGTGTCGGCGAATCAGGCCTGAACCCATACGATGGTCTTTCGTTGACTTTCGCGTCGAATGATCGATTTTGTGCTACCCGCTATAATATAATCAAACACTATAGGTTAGGTATATATTTATATGTTATTACTACCTATATGTTATATTATACGGGCTGTACGTAAAAACTCGAGCGGTATAACTCGAACGATAATATTGAAAAACTTTGGTCGATAGCCATTTACAGGAATCCTAAAACACATTCGAATATCGTAAAACCTAAAAGGTAGACATTTTCAAGAGGGTTTATCTCGAAAAACCGCAATAATTCACTTATATTTGTATTCGATTTTTCCGTATAGTCCGCAGGTAGTCCAGTATACCTTACTGTGTTATGCGAATTGAATGTGAAGTACAATACGGTTGATCATTTTTAATATATCACAAAAAATCGAAGGAGGGATTATTTCTTTAACCCTATCAAAATATAATACGGTGTCTGATAAATGTTTAACACGTAACGCAATTCAAATTTGTGTTTTTGTTTTTTTTTTTTTTTTTTTTTTATCATACTTGGCGTTATAAAAATAAAAGTGAATATAAAGTTTATTTAAATTTGTATTATTTACCATCAGACTTCTACTGCAACCAACATTCTTTTCAAAGTTCCAACCATCTTTTTTGGATTGCATGAATTCTCACGCTGTTCGAGTGGGTTCGTTTGTGAATTACCTTGAAATAAATAAATTCGACTAGTGGCGTACATAGATTTTATTTTTTATGGGAGCGGTTAAAACTTTCAAGTTTAAGGTAACAGGTTTTTAGAAAGAAATAATGACCACGTCTCGAACATTACATATGATGGATAGCGATACTAACCCCTATAAAAAAGTAATTTTTTTTGGTAGGTGGATGTTGAACACGATTGGCCAAAATCCCAATCCGAAACTGACCACCTGATCTCAAACACTACTCACAGTTTTTTGAACATAAAATTTGAAACTATTAATTATAAATAAGATTTTATGTTTTCATTTGGCATTAGATTTTTGACTGCCTCGTGTTTCAAATTGCTATAAAACGGTATCTTTTAGTCGTGAACGGTGAACGTAAGCTGTGGTACTGTGTAAACCGTACACTGTAAGGTATACAGGTAAAACGTACGGGCGATAAGCAGTCCGAAAAATTATAAATGTTCGAAATATAAAAAAAATGAAATATTTAAAATAATAACAAAAAAATATACTTGTTTAATTTTAATTTTAAATTTAAATAAATTCACTAAGATAGATGTGATTTATATTAATTAATTATTATGTTTTAGCTTTGATATTATGTAGCTGAGAGTAGACTGTATTGTTTTTACGATTAAGTGTTATTATTTATTGAATATTTTTTTATTTAATTATTTTATGGTTGAATTGAAATATGTACGTACAGTGTCTATAAATACTTTAATATTACAAAATTGAAAATACCAATAAAACATTAAGTACTTAATGTAATATGTTACACACAAAAAATTATCAACGGTGTTGACGGATATTAGTTAAAATTTATAAAGTGAATACTGAAGATGTATTTCATAGACCAAAATAACGTATTTATATGTTTTAGTCGTTACATCTTATACAGTTTTATAAGTTTTATTGTATACGTAGGATTATAGACCCGGCTTTTAGCATGCAATTTGGATGCCACTTGTGTTCAAAATTTGGTTAAATGAATTGATATCGGTCGATCGTATTTATACAATTATTTGTAATTTAATATTTATTTCTCAAGTTCTTATATTATGTATATGTGTGTACTATTATAAGTTATGTACTTATATAAAGTTGTGAAAATTAACAAAATTGTTTATCGTAACATTGTTAATTTTAATAAGCATTTTTGTAATTGGAATATTATTCCGAAAAGAAATACAATAAACGATTAAAAAATAAAATACAAATATTTAGCCCGTGATTAAAATAGATTAAACAAATTGTAATATTACTGTATAGAAAAATTATCGTACAATATTTTTTTAATCAATACATTATCTTGTTACACATCATTCATTTAGTTTTTATGTGGGTGTTGTTTTTAGCTACCGGTCAAATAATCACTTAATAACAATGATCATAAAATATTGGTTTATGCCGCGGCTGTCACGTTATTAATGAATACCTGTAATATGTTATTAATAAAAAAAGTACCCGTAGTCGCCGAAATTACCTTATACGCGCAAATCGGTACAAAGCCTACTAATTAGCTCGTGTGTGTATTTTAACTATCAAAAACAGGTAATTATAACAAATTTATGTTATTAAGTTGCTGTTTTTTTTTTTTTTTTATTAATAAATAATTATCATTATTTCGCTTTCGTTTTATAACATCGTTGTTATTTATCTGAAATGTACAATAATATTAATGCAATTTAATTTGTACGAACGTCACGATATGTACTACGTTAAACGCATACTGCACTATTAGATTATGTGTACATTAATAACAATTAATAACAGTTATACATTAATGTAGTACAATAGTATACATTAATAACAATTATATATTTTTCCATTGGAATTTTTTATCGAACGATGTTTTTATTTCTTAAAAATATTTATAGACGAAAACCTTTCCGTGACTTCATGTGGTCGGTAGAATTTGTTGCCTGTGTTTTTTTTTTTCATAATAAAATAAGGTTTCATGTTGTTAACCAATTGTAGATTACGAACAGAGCGATAAATACAGTTTCGTTGAAAAATAAATGCAAAAAACATAGGTATACAGTTTTTTTTTTTTTTATAAATATTTGCAGATAACTTAAATAAAAAAAAAATACTAAGAGTTTTTTTTATTATTCGATTTTTTTAAACTAGTCAAGTTAAACGTTATCAAACAAAAGCAACTTATAATTTAATTTTTAACTATAGTTACTGCTCATCTTTGTGATTTAGTATTTATCTAGTATTAAATACGTACATGTACGAGCATCGCATTCCATATTATTTAGTCACTAGAAATCGTTACACATAATACATTCCGTGTACTTGCCGCAATTATTATATTGCGGGCGGGTTATGAAACGAAAATCATTATACCGCCTGAAAGATCTCTTATAACATATAAAAACGGTTTTCAATTTTCGACAAATGTACTTTTTTCTTTTTTTCTAAAGATAGGTCGTGGCACATTACCAATTTTTTCACCGGCTTGTACATATACGTATACAACAAGAAACGGACTCTTAAACGAATTTCAATTCAACTTAAACGCACATTTTGTTATGTATAGAACTATACAGGCATGAACATAGTTTTCTACATAACTGTCGAACTCGTTTCACAAAAACGTTTTTCCTACTTCTTGGAAGCTTTTAAACGGATGGGTTCTAAATATAATAATACAGACACACGCATGTACCTGTATATGTTTACGTTTTTCGCGAAAAGCTGTAATAGGTAAGTTTATAACAATGTATACGTGCTTCGGTTGAAACGGTATTGGTTGGTACATTTTCCTACGACGAGACCGAAATCGATACGGATATTTAGCTTTTTTTTTCTCTTCTCGTTATCAAAATATTGTTTTGAAACATACGATAGGTAGGTACGCGTAGGTAGCCTATACATCGTATAACTTGTGTGACGAAGATAGTAATCGCTGTCATTACAGATAATAATATAGCGTCGACGTATA